CCACAGAGGCTCTTTGTCTAAGGGCATGCCCCTGGTGCTTTCAAGGTATGTGGAACCCCAGCTGAGCTCACTCCAGAGGGTCCTGGACCCAAGTCCAGACACATCCGGAGGAAAAGTGAAGGCTGCCTCTCCCAAGAGAGCAGCTTTGGCAAAGCAAAGGCCCTGGGACCATGTGGGAAAGATGTCTAGACCACACAGACTACACCATAGACTACAAGGTTGCTGGGCCTCTTTGTAACCCTGGGATAGTATGGCATTATTTGGAGTTATTTTTCCACAGCTGTATTTATGGGATTTTACCGTGTATTCATTTCACTGTGGACTAAGTCCCAAGGGTCATCTTATCCCATGGCACCCCACAGGCAAGTGCAGTGCTTGGTGAGGACAGCCGTCAGGAGACTTGCCCTCTGACCCTTATCTGAGGGAGGAGGCACATTTAGGCCTGTGTGAACTGAAGACACCAAAACCTTTATTCTGCTATTTTGCTTATTCAATAAATATTTATTGAGCACATACTGTACACAAGGCACTCTTCAAGAGTCCAGAGAATCACCCATATACAAAACTCACCAAAATCCCCTGTGATCATGGAGCTTAAATTCTAATGGAAAGAGAGGAGATGCTGCAATAATCATAAACATACGAGGAGAATTGTATATTGTATTAGAAGATGAAAGGAAATGAAAATAAGTAAACAAGTAGGGTAGGGGATGAGGATGTAGTTCTGTGGTACAGTGTTTGCCTAACAAGCATGAGGTTTTGGGTTTAATCTCTAGTAATGAAAAAAAAAAAAGTAGGGTAAAGGAGTTCCTGGGCGGGGTTAGGTTTTAAATCAGTTGGCTGCTGAAGGTGACATTTGAACAGACTCAAAGGAAGTGAGAGAGTAAGTTGTTCAGGGTTATCTGGGGGAGAGGATTCTAGGCACTGGGAATGGGCAGTACCAAGGCCCTGAGGCAGGAGCAGTTCTGATAAATTGGAGGATTTCAAGGGGGCTGTGTGCTAGGAGCTAAGAGACTGAGGGGGTGCCACACTTGGAGTCAGGTTAACAGTGACCTGGTCTTGTAGGGGCTTTTATTCTGGGAGAAATGGAGGACACTTGGAAGGTTTCAAGCGAAGGAGGGACATGATCTGATTCATGTTTCTGGCTGCTGGAAGAAGTCACAGAGGAGGGTCAGAGGCTGAAGTGGGGTCCAGGGCAGGGACTCTGGCTGTAATGCAGGTGGGAGGATATGGTGGCTCAGGCCTGGCAGTAGGACTAGAGGTTGTATAAAATGGTAGGATTCTGGAAACGTTTTTGAAGGTAGAGCCAACAGGATTTATTGGTGGGGCTGTGAGGGAAAGAGGGGAATCAAGGATGGCTCCAAGGTTTTGACCAGGGCAATTAGAAGGACAGAGCTGCCATAACGGGAAATGGGGAAAGTTGAAGAGGAATAGGCACTTTATTTTGATGTCTTCAGACAACCAAGGGGAGATGTCAGGTATAAGATGGATGTACAAATTTAGAAGGGAAATGTGGGCTAGGGATAAAATTTAGGATATGAGTCAAAACATGTTTAAAAGGCTTAGAAACTATCACATAGTGCTGGTGGAGTCTACTTTGGTATAATCTTTCTGGAGGGCAATATAGCAATATCCCAAATACTAAAATGTGCATACCCTTTGACCAAGAAATTTTATGATATTGTCCCACAGAAACATTATAAAGCCATGCAAAGTATGCACACATATGAAAAGGTGGCTCCTTACAGCATTATTTATAGTAGTAAAAAAAAGATGTCCTTTGTGAGTTGTTACAGAAGTGAAAAAGCAAACGGCAGAAGAATATATATGACAGTATCATTTGTTTTTTAAATATTAAAAATGACCATATAGAAATCAATGTTTGTACCAAAAAAAAAGCTGAAAAGATATGGAAATAATCTGATAAACTGGAGGAAAGGACTGAGGACACTTATTTTTTTATTTTTTGTTTACTGTTGGAGGTTTTCTTTACTTTTGTTTTTACCAGGATAATGTAGACCTTTTGAAATTTAAAAGTGAAAAAAACAATTGAAAGATCAAAAGTGTGTGTGAAACCCAGAGATAAACACACAGAAGCTGCAGTCCGCAGAGCAGCTTATAAAATGATAAAATGAAAAGGGCCGCTCACAAGGAATTTCCTTTGCACTGAGGAAGTCCCCATCAGATGGGAGCTAGTGAGTGGTCCCAAAGGTGACCTGAGCCCTTTGATACTGGTGCAGGTAAGAGCCACTCATCAATTCAGTTAGCTGAATACTGGGAGCAGCAGAATCAGGGATGCACTGAGCTTATCAAGCAGAGAGATACTCCCAGAAGAGGGACAGGAGGATGGAGACAGGGATGCACAGACAGGGGAAAGCAAAAGAGTTAGTGTGTCAGTCAGAAGGAATGGTAGTGGCATCAGGTGAGGACTGATGGAGTGGCTGTACCGAGGGTAACCTGGTTAGACAGTGTCAGCTGATCAGAGGAGCTGAGGCCAGAGGGTGTGCCTGTGCTGGGGTCATGCAGAAGCGAGAGTTGCTGGGAGGCACCTCTTCCAGGCTGGGCCAGACTCCCTGGGACTTTCCCAGAGGCCATCTGGAGGCACCATGGAGAAGTCAAAAGTAATGGTAAGAATCCATGGAACTGTTCTGGACAGAGAAGGGGGCCAGGGAGCCTCCACATGTGGAACTATTCCTAATGGATAGGACCATTTATTTATGGGAGGCAAATTAGAGGCAAGGCAGGCTCCCCAGACTCTCCCACTTTTCTTCCCACACATAGCTCCTTCCTGCACCATCTAGGACCTCACATGCATATGGAAAGCTGGACCAATGGCATGTTGCCCTAGTTCTGTCCCCCATTAAGCTATCCCTTATTGCACATCCCAGTCAGTCCCTGCAGGAGGGAGTTAAAGAAGAAGCCTGCTCTGGCTCTGGAAATGGACTCAGGATAATTTTGGGCTCCTAGGCACCTGGAGGACAGGCACAGGGCAGGCACATTCTTACTTTGTGGGGAAGGGTACAGTTGGAGGAGATCCAGAGCAGGGGTCCTGGCTTCCCAGCTCTCGGGACAGAAAAGTACAGATGAGGTAGCCAGCCTCAACCAAGAGAGGCAGAAGTGGCCCAGGTCTGATGGCAACATCTTGGGACTCATCTCAGGAAGTGGGTTTTTGGGCTGTAAGACAAGCACTCTCACTGGAGTAAAAAGTGCTTATTATACCACTGTGAGCAGAGTCAAGTTGTGCCAATGACAGTGGACAATGTGGTCTTAAGCTGTCACCCTGAACAAGGACAGTCCTCTTCCCCATGTCAGTGGATGACAGAATCACCCACCTAACTACACACAGAGGACACTCGGGAGTGATTCTTTGTTCCTTTTTCTCACATCCCATCATCCACCTGCAAGTCCTGTCAATTCTACCGTTTAGATCTATCTCCAATCCCTTCCCCTCACCCTCATCTAAGCTCCTTTATCTCTTTTCTAACTTCTGCAATAGTTTCCTAATTGATTTCGCAGGTGCCTGTTGCCTCCTGCTATCTATTCTCACAGCAATCAGAGTGACCTTCATAAAACAAAGAGCTGACTATGACATGCTCCGGCTTAAAACCCTTGATGGCTTTCTCACTGTCCTCAGTATAAAGTTCCAATTTCCTATTGTGGTGTTCAAACCCATTTATGACCTGGCCCTTTCCTATCAGTCTCATCCTTCACTCTCAAACTCTTGATTCCACATCTACATTTCTTGCATTTCCTCCCACTTGTAGTAGCTTTCTCTTCCAGCCTGTGCTCTCTTGTAGCTTTTGCACACCTAGACCACTGGAGATGGCATACCCACCCTTTTTTTCCCTTCTCCATTGGCTTTTCCTACGCATTCTTTTTTTAATTAAAAAACTGAGGTATAATTTACATACAGTAAAATCCAACCTTTACAGTGTACAATCCTGTGAGGTTTGATAATCCATATAGTTGCATAACCACAATCAAGTTACAGGACAATTCCACCACTCCAAGAAATTCCCTCTGAAGTCACACCTAGTCCCCATTCTGCAGCTCCTGAAAACCAATGGTCTATTTTTTGGTATGTATTTTCTGGAATGTTCTATAAATGGAACCATTCCATAGGTAGCATAGATATATCCAACATAGATTCATCTATGCTGTTGGGTATATTAATAGTCTGCTTCTTTTCTATTGTTGAGCACTATTCCTTGGTATAAACATACTACAGTTTATCCATTCATCAGTCTACGGAGCATTGGAGGATTTTTTTTCTAGTTTGAGTGGTGATGAATAAAAGTGCCATAAACGTTTATGTTCAAGCTTTTGCGTGCACATAGTTTTCATTTCACTTGGAGAAAATACCTCCAGTGTGACTGCTGTATGTGTAACTGTGTAGGAAACTACCAAACTGTTCTCCAGAGTTGCTGAACCAGTTTGTATCCTCATTCACAGTATATGAGAATTCTGGTTGCTCCCCATATTCACTAGCACTTGTTTGGTCTCTTTATTCAAGAATGTCTTTCTTTCTTTTTGCCATTCTACTAAGTTCGCAGTGATAACACATTGTGGTTTTAATCTCCACTCCCCTGTTGACTAATGATGATGAGTCTACTCTTCCTTTTAAATCTCTGCCTGGTCTTCACTTCTTCCAAGAAGCCACGGCTCACCCTACAGACTATGGTTCTAGACAAACATCACATGCCTCCAAGGTGGCCTGAAGTCACTAACCTGCAGTTGTTATACTGTTCCCTCTCCACTCACCACCTTCATATATATATCACTCACACACACACACACACACACACACACACACACACACACGACGGTGCGATCCCCAGGGGAGATGCAACTTCCTTTGGTATGTTCTAACTTCCTTTGGTATGTTCAGTTCCCAGCCTGGACCTGAAACAGAAGTTTTACACAATCAACCATAAGTAGATTGTGAACAATTGCTGAGCAAATTAAAGAATGAATGGATGAAAGCACGTAGTCAGGAGTAAGATTTTGCAACCAGATTAGGCTGGTTCTGTCAATTAACCCTTTCCTCACAGGAAATTCAGCGTTAGGAGGGACGGTGCTGAAGATGCAAGGATTTGCAAGGACGAAGCCGAAGACGCTCGCCAGGGCGGAAGCAAGGCGGAAGAGGCGGGCCCGGAAGTAGAAGTGGGGCCAGGAGTTAGCGTCTCAGTTGCCATGGAGACCAAGGGGCCGACGGCGGAGCGGAGCTCCTTAGAGTCTGGGACCTACGAGTACGAGAGGCAAACATGGGCGCCAGACTCACGACTGGCCATGTCCAGAAGCCCCCCAAAGTCCCCCTTGTCGTCCTCCCGTGCCTACGTGGAGAGCTTCCAGTTCGGCTTCGCGACCCGGCCCAGTCGCGGGTGGTCGCGGGCGCTCCCGCCGCCACCCGAGCCGCAGCTGCTGCGTCTGCGCCCCTCTTCGCTGCGCACCCAGGACATCTCGCACTTGCTCACCAGCGTCTTCCGCAACTTGTACTCCGCCGAGGTGATCGGCGAGGAAGCGAGCGCCAGCTTGATCAAGGCCCGCGGCAGCGATAATGCGCGCCACGAGCAGTTCGTGGACCAGTTGCAGCAGGTAACGTGGCCCTGGCGCCCCACGCGGTGGCATCGCATCTGCGGACCGTGCCGGGGATCCGGGACGGGACCGCAGGACTCAGCGCTGGACCTGTGCCAGCACCTGGCCACGTGCCAGGCGCTGTGCCAGGCCCTGGAGATGCAGCTGGGGAAAAGCAGACCAAGTCCATGCTGCAGAGGACATTCTAGAAGAAGGACGCTGCATAAACGCACACATATACCAATGCACACACACTACACATAAATGGCACAGATCTGTAGCGCCTGTTTATATTTCTCTGCACACATCCGCACATTATATATTGCATATATAAATTAAATGACTCTGGCAGTCAGCCAAATAGTTGTTCCCTAGAGGTGATTAAGTCAAGTCACTATCCTTTGGGGTGCCTTTATATCACCAACCACTATCTTGACTGAGACATTCATGCCCACACTTTCAGAAGCATACTCCGTCTCTGGAGCAGCAACTCTTATTTGTTCATCTGTACAAGAGGGGAAACCAGCCAAGTTGTGTCCTTCATGCTTACATGTCCTCTAAGGACAACTCCCTTCAACTTGAGGGCAAACTGCCCCCACCCAAGCCTACCCCCTTACCAGGTGTACCTCCTGCTTCTCAGATTTTCCTCTTCTCCACTCCATTCTGTCCTTTACCCCCTTTAAGTGATATGTACCCCTGCTCCTGGCTTTATTCATTCATTTAACACATTTATTGAGTGTCTACTATGTACCATGCTCTGTTCTAGGCAGTGAGGATTCAGCAATAAGGAAAACATGGGTGCATGGACACCTACACACACACACACCCTGACCTCTATAGCCTACCATCTAACTGGGGCAGATAGACATTAACAACACGAGTATCTGTATAGTATGTGAGATATTAGCCTCAACCCTCCATGAGTTACACAGGCTTCCTGAAATCCAGGTAGGACCTCCTGGATGGGAACCCACTGCCCTGTTCTTCCTGGACCATCACACTCACTTTCCTGACTTTAGCCATCCTAGGCCAAACCTTGATCTTGAACATCTAACTCACATCCCTGTCATTCACATGAGCCACAAGATGTGAAGCATTGTTAACCCATAAACCCCTCAACCAGTCACCCAGTTCATTAGACTATGCATTTTAACATCTCTTCTATGATTAGCCAGCATCTGAACTGGCAGAGCAATCCCAATTTAAAGAAAAAAGGCTTCACATTTTTTTTAAATACAAAAGTGATACATGTTTCAAACATTGCTGAATGCAGAAAAGTTTAAAGAGTGGTCCTATAGAAATCAACTCATGCAAAGGTAGTTTGACTTTATAAGTTATGGTATACTTACTGTACTATGCAATATTATGAAGTTGTTAAAAACCATGAGTTACACCTATATTATATTCATAGACAGCTACCTGCCATTTATTAAGTTAGCACAAAAGTCATTGGAAAAGGTTAGGACCTTTTAGAACCCTACACATTTGCATGGAAAAGAAGATGAAAAGTTTTATATAAAAAATGTAAACAGCACTCCTGGGGGAGCGTTTAGATTTTTCTTTCCAGACATCTACATTTTCAGAACTTTTGCGATGCACAAGAATTCATTTTGTAGGTACAAAAGAAACTTTGTAATTAGTATCTGTAATTAGCACCTGCTAGGCTAGCGCTGAACTGCTGAGCCACAACCCCAGCCCCCACCTGATCTCAATAACATTTAGTTACCCCCTCCTAGCTTTATTTTATCCTCATGTCTATGCTATTTTTACACTTTTAAGAGTCTGTTCCACTCATTTATATCTTTCCCTGTCCCCTCCTGCTAAATCTTAAACTCCTTAAGAGCAGAAACCATATCTGATGTATTTCTCTCCTCAAGTGTACATTGTAAATTCACAATAAATCTTCACTAAAAATAACAGTAAACATGCTGGCTGTGCAGCACTTGAATTCATTCTCTCTGAAGGAAGCAATAGTCACCATCTAATATGGAGTATCTCTCTTGAACTGAGGTCTCCCCAGACAGTCTCACCTGCTTCTGGTCTTTTCCAAGTCTGCCTACAAGAAGATTGGTGAGGTCTAATGATTGAGAGCAAATGCCCTGGAACTTTGCACCCTGGGTTCAAATCCTTGTTCCACCACATACCACCTGTATTACCTTGGGCAATCCTTCTATAAGTTTTTTTCCTTATCTATCAAATGGGGGTAATAATACCTCAATAGGATTGAATCAATTTAGTAAAGGCTTTATAATATTGTTTACAACATGGTGGATGCTCAATAAGTGATAGTTGTTATTATTTGGGTATTCCTACATATAAGAATTAGGGTTAGTTGTTATCAGCAGAGCAAAATAATAAAACACATGACATAATAATAAAACATAATGCATGTGTATGGAACTGCCCTGGCCACCGTCTCCTTCAAGGGGTCACCTGATCTCTCTCTCTTTTTTAATATATATATATTTTTAGTTGGACACAATATCTTTATTTTATTTATTTATTTTTATGTGGTGCTGAGGATGGAGCCCAGGGCCTCGCGCACGTGCTAGGCGAGCGCTCTACCGCTGAGCCACAACCCCAGCCCCCACCTGATCTTAATAACATTTAGCTACCCCCTCCTAGCTTTATTTTATCCTCACATCTATGCTATTTTTACACTTTTGAGAGTCTGTTCCACTCATATCTTTCCCTGGCTCCTCTGCTAAATCTTAAACTCCTTAAGCGCAGAAACCATATCTGATGTATTTCTCTCCTCAAGTGTACATTGTAAATTCACAATAAATCTTCACTAAAAATAACTAAGTAAACATGTTTGAGGCCCTGTCAGTTCTAGGAATATAATAAGGATCAGCGTCACCTGGCATAAACTGTCTTTAACATTGCATGCACCAGTGAGCTCTTTGCTTCTTGCTTTGATCCTGAACTTGAAAATATAGATCAGAAGCTTGGTTGGCTGACCAGTCAATCTGAAGTCTTAGGATGTGTGCTGGGTATCCAGGTTGGATTTCTGGGTACAGATACTGTGACAACGTTTGGGTACAAGGTGTTTACTAGCAATCAACATCTACAAAGGGAAGAGAGAGAAAGCAGCACTGAACCAGGGAAGCAGCTGAATTTTGATGGGGGCCCAGTAAGCCATGGCAAATGGAGAAGATTGCATTGAAGAGAATATAGCCTGTCTCAGTTTTTCATTTTGGGTCAAAATGACCAAGCCTGTAACTACACTCCTGCGTCTCAGTCACTGGATGCGAATTCCACAAAAAGGACACACTCTCAGGCCAGCCCCTTCCAGCAGTTTAGGTAAGCTCTGACAGGGTTGACAGCTGGAGACTGTTCCTTAGAGGTAGGGAGCAAGACCTTCCCTGAACAGAGCTCTGGGTGGCCCAACGGGGAGTGTGCTAACTTCTTGTTATGGTTTGAGTCAGTTGTCCCCCAAAAGTTCATATGTGAGACAATGTAAGAAAATTTGGAAGATAAATGGTTGGGGGGTATAGCCTTAACCTATTCAGTGAATTAATACCTCATGGGATTCACTGAGTGGTAACTGGAGGCAGGTGGAGTGTGGCTGGAGGAAGCGGCCCATTGGGGGCGTGGCTATGGGGTATATATTTTGTACCTGGAGAGTGGAGACCCTCTCTCTCTGCTTCCTGATCATCAAGTGAGCTGCTTCCCTCTGCCACACTCTTCCACCGTAAGGTTCTGCCTCACCCTGAGTCCTGAGGAATGGAGTCTGCTGTGCATGGATTGAGACCTCTGAAACCGTGAGCCCCCAAACTTTTCCTCCTCTACAGTTGTGCTGGTCAGGTCTTTTAGTCACAGCAGTGAAAAAACTGACTAAAACACTTGTGTTTGGATTTCACAGTACGAGAGGCAGCTCTCTTTACCATGAAGCCAGGAGACAAGGGCTTCCAAGGTTGACTCTACTGACTTACTATGAAAACTTCCAGTCATTTCCTCTGTGGGTCTCTTACAGCTGGTCAGTCGGACCAGATGATTGCAATAGCTCTCTGGCTTTTTTGTGCTTCAATGGAAACCCTGCTGTGGGGGTGGGGCAGAGTAAAGCTGTGACCTCACCATATTTCTGTGCATTTAATCATCCCCTTGGCAGATTCGGGAGCTCTATAAGCAGCGACTGGATGAGGTCAAAATGTTGGAGAGACATATCATTCAGGCCCAAGCACGGGCCCTGGCTGAAACAGAGCGGGCCACGAACCAGGCCACAGTGCATGTCCTCGAGGCCCTCCAGTTGCCCCCAGGTGTGTATTGAGTTCTCTTATGCCTGCCCTTGTTTCCCCAGATCAGACGTGTGACTGTATTTGCGCCATTGCCCACGCTCCTTTTCTGAACGTTTGGAGAGCCAGCTGCAGTTTTTGTGTTTCATTACCTCGAAACACTCCAGCATTCACAGCATCACCAGAACTGGGACACTGTCCTTTATAAACAGGGCACACCCTCCAAATGTTGGCCTAGGTTATCCACTGAATCCTTCCAACAAGCTGTGGGGTAGGTTTTCTCTCCATTTTTCAGGTGCAGGAACTAAACTTGGAAGATCAAATAACTCCAATAGAGTCCCGTAGCTCAGAAAAGGGGAAACCCCGGATTTGAACTTGAGTGTGTCTTCTGTGTCAGTCCATCTCCTCTTTCTATCAGGAGGAGGGGAGATTGTTGACCTGGCATAGTATCCCAGGGGCTTTTATGACTTCCCTTAGGATGTGAGCTTGGAGCTGGATCCTTGGTCAAGGTTGCCGCCTCTGAGGTTCAGGTCCAATTGGACTGTGAACTCTCAGGCTCATATTCCATCTCTCTCCCTGTTTCTCACTCCACCAAGACAGAGAGTAGCTCCCAGGACCCCACCCTCAATGGTGGCCCTTACAGCATCAAATAATGTGGATTTCAGCAGAGATTATTGGTAGCAGATTCCTAGGAGGCTTAATTGGTTGCTCCATGTCCCCTAATCCCTGGGAGTCAGATATTGTCCTGTTTGGAGTAGGATTTTTTCTTTTTTCTTTTTTTTTTTTTTTTTTTGCTAAAGGTCAGGGGAGATCAAATAGTTAGCTATTTGTGTTTTGTTGTTGTTTTAAATGAAAGTGAAACAAAACATTGAGAGCAGAAGACAAATTTCAGGAGAATTTCATTCATTTTATTTTTTAATTATTATTTTAGTTTGGTACCGGGGTATTGAACACATGGAGGTGCTTAATCACTGAGCTACATCCCCAGCCCCTTTTATTGTTTATTTTGAGACAGGGTCTCACTAAGGTGCTTAGGGCCTCACTAAATTGCTGAGGCTGGCTTTGAACTTGGGATCCTCCTGCCTCAGCCTCCTGAATTGCTAGCATTACAGGCCTGCACTACCGTGCCCAGCTCATTCATTTTATTTTTCACCCAAGATAATAAGTTATAATCAGAGATGATCTGTCCTGGTTTCTCAGCCTCCTTCTGTCTTTTATAAAAGTGGTAGGAAAAAGAGACCTTATAATTCAGCTTCATGGATGTCATCAGGTCCCTCCCTGCTTCTCAGGGTGGGGCAAGGTGACCCAAAAACTTCTAACTTGAGGACATCCCCCACCTCCAAACTTTTCTTATCTGAAGAACAAGGCAGCTTTTCTCTGTCCACTAATACAAATATCACAGGGTGGAAAACATGCATACATTGTCCAGACAGAGGGACAAGGATCAGAACCCTGAAGAACATTTTGTGCTTTCTCTCCTGTCCTTGCTGGGGACTTGTCTATGTTATCTTTTGGAGAATGCAACAACCAATCCCTGGCAGAGCCAGGCTCAGGAGCCATGGCATCAGTGTAGGAAGTCCACCCTTCTCAGAAGGAGGAAGATGGTCACAAAGCCAGTACAGCATTGTCTACAGGTCCAGTGGGGGAGGACTGTGGAGAGAACAGTCTCAGAAGAGAGAGGACACATCCCTTATCACATGACATTTGCTCTTATCTTTTGAGATTTCAAATAGGCCATCACCAAAGTCCTTTGGAACGGGGCTGGATTGTGTCAACTTGACACTGCTGCCACTCTCTGCCACAGTCTCCCTCAAAAGTAGCCCGGAATGCACCTCTCCTGCCGTTTCAGGATAGATCACTGGTGAGGGAGGCCCTGGGAGGCCGTTACTCTCAAGCAGCAGCTCCCAGCAGATGATTCAGTACAGTCCGTTTTGAAGCAGATTCCAGATAAGTCCTAGAGAAGCTACCTGCCTCAGTGCCACCAGCTAACATTGTCAATGATGGCTTCCCCGACCTATTCTCCCTCAGTTCATAATCCCCTGTATTAAAAGCCTTTCTTTTTTTTATTTCAATTTTTTTTAGTTGTAGATGGACACAGTACCTTTATTTTATTTTTTTTTTATGTGGTCCCAGGGATCACACCTAGTGCCTCACGCATGCTAGGCCAGCACTCTACCACTGAGCCACAACCCGGGCCCAAAAGCCTTTCTATTTAATATGCACAGTGTGGTTTCTCTGTTCCTGATTATTACAGTAATTAGGCCAAACCTCAGGATCCTCAGTTTGCCTGCCTCATGGGGAAATGGGCATTCTTCCCTTGTCTCGTCCTCAACTTTGGTTAGAGGAGACCGCCAGAGGGAAAGTCGGTTTAATGGTGTCCCATCTTAGGAAAATGTGGGCTAATGGAGCAAGCAGGAAAGTTTAAAAACTTCCACATCTTCCATTCGTCCTATTTTTCCTTATTTTTATCAAAGTAATCAATATATACGGTTTTAAAGAAGATTAGAATGCCTAGTAATGTATAAAAAGCCTCCACCTATACATGCATTATAAATCTGTGCAAACATAGACTATACAGTACTAAGAGCGAAACATGGGCTTTGGGTGGGATTGCTGTGTCAATGTAGATTCATCGATGTAGCCGATGTACCACTCTGGTTAGGGATGTCAGTAATGGGGGAGGAGGTGCATGTATGGATGCAGGGGATGGATGGGAACTCTATATCTTCTTAGTTTTTCTGCCAACCTATAACTACTCTGAAATATAAAGTTTATTTTAACAGAAGCCCCTGACTCATCTTTCCTAGTCTCAGTCCACTTTCCCAAGGTAGTTACTGGATACTTCTAAATAATGTTATTTGTATGTTGTGTAAACAATGTGTCTTTACTGCTGTTTTTGATTCATCGTTATAGATGTGATCAACTTCCCATTCCATTAAATGAAATTTTCTCTCTCATGTATCTTTGGGTCAGTGGGAGGTTCGGTTGACCTACCTGAGCCTGGCTGTCTGGACCGGCTTCAACTGCGGATCCCGCAAGCTTGGCTTCTTGCTGTAGGTTGGGCTCAGCTTTGCTCCACATGCATTTACATCAGTGTTCAAGATGTAGGGGCAGGGAAACTCTTCCCTGATGATGGCCAAAGCACAAAAGAGAAATCTCACTGCACAAGCAAACCCCCACCATCATCTCATTGGCCAAAGTACATGGGGCGGCCAAGGTCAAGGGTGAAGATGTGTACTCTCTTTAGTAGGAGGGACTACGAAGTCATGTTGCAAAAGGTGTGGGGAAGGGTGAAGAATTGGGGCCATTTATTACTGTATGTCATACTTAATTCTATTTTGTTCTAGAACTTTCTCTCTGCATAACAGTGTTAAGCTCAGATAATACCACAATGCAGCATTGCCCAATGGTTGGCCTCTTTTAAGTGGTTGATAAATATGCTGATTAGTTTCTTAAATCTCAACACTACTGCAGGGTTCTGAGAAGGAGTTTCCTAGGACAGTTTAGGTTGAGAGGATGAAGAAAGTTGGGTGCAGCTTTTTCACATAGGTCTAGCGTGACTCGCCTTTGTCTTCTCCCCCCTCTGTGCAGTTAAGACTGTCTTCAGGTGGTGTGTAGACAGCGAGTTGTTGCGGAAACATCATTTGATCAGCCCAGAAGATTACTACAGTGACACCGTGCCATTTTGCTCGGCACCTAAAGGTAATGCTTCTGTTTTCAGAGCTTTGGGTATCATTCCAGGGACATTCCATAGTAGCAGGGCCACATCAGCCACCTTTGTGGCCGTTTCATCACTCAAAGGGTTTTTCCTCTTTAATTTTTATAGTGACAATTGGGAGGGTCAAATCTGAGTGTGCCACTTCCTCACTCTCTCACTGCCTGTAAGACAGAAGTTTCAGACTTTTCAGACTCTCTGAAGACATCATAAGAGACCCCCAGATTTTTGGATGTAATTGACTAGACCTACAAAGGAAGGGATTGAAGACATCTATAAGCAGGGGAGCAAGTTCTGATGAGGCACAATGTGGACAAAGTCTACCTCATTGGGAAAAAGAGAAGCTTCTCACCCACTGAGAATGGGCAGAAGTATGATTTGGGAGGCAGAGAGGGTGTGTTTGCATATGTGTGAGATATCGGGCCAGTTTTCTGTGATCAGGGAGGCAAGATCTGAGAATGAGTAGGTCGTGGGCTTATGCAAGGAAGCAGATTTTGAAAGAGTCACTGTGTGGATGAACAGAGTCTCTGTGAACCCTGTGGCCAAGCATTAGGATTGCCAAGTGGTGCCAAGCTCTCCAGCAGACCTGGTCAGTGGGAGTGTGTGATGATGCCTGGGGTTTTATAGCTTAGAAGGCATCGGGGGGTGGGAAGACTGGGATCCAGAGAGTTGAGAGTGGTGATGAGAAAAGAGTTTCAGTGATGAGTTCCTAATCCACATAGGGAAGAAAAGCCAGGAAGGGGGTAGCAGAATCAAGTGTCATGGATACTAAGCCACTCAGTATTTTACAGTTAGTTGGATACTCACTATCTTATGCAGGTAAATAACCTGTGCTCAGAAATGGGATTGGTGGGGGGGGGCCAATTTTCACTGAGAACATTCATTGCAGTAAGAATGCATTTCGCTTTTGGAGGATGATCTTATCGATGTTAAAAAGTTAATGCAAGCTGGGCGCTGTGGCACATGCCCGTAATCCCAACGGCTCGGGAGGCTGAGGCGGGAGGATCGTGAGTTCTAAGCCTCAGCAATGGTGATGCACTAAGCAACTCAGTGAGACCCTGTCTCTAAATAATATACAAAATAGGGCTGAGAATGTGGCTCAGTGGTTGAGTGCCCCCGAGTTCAGTCCCCAATACAACAACAACAACAACAAAAAAAAGCTAATGGAAATTTTGATTCCTCGTGTAAGCTTTTCAAAAGGCACGTTCTGGGGTATGTGTATATGTGAGTATGACAATGGTCCACACATGTTCTTTGGACTGGAAAATTGAAAGATATTTTAACCCTGTAGTTCTAAATTGGAAATACAAGGAATAAGTTCTGAGAGTAATTCGCATGTTGAAGAGGGATTACATCTGATGCAGAAAATGTGACATTCGTGCTGACTGTGGCTTTATGTGGTCCTCTTAGAAGCACCCACTTCCTCATCTCAGTTATGATAGGTAGCTCAGTTTGTTCCTTTGGTGCCCTAGGCAGTTCTATCCCTGGATATTCAAAACTGACGTTCAGTAGTCAGAAGCGTTTCACCCCCAAAGGAGCATTGGGCAAGAAGCTTGCAGTGCCCTACAAGGAGAAGCTTGGAGATGAGTTCGACTACACTGTGGACAGCCAGGAATGGGACTCAATTCCTAAGGCCAAACAAACGACCAAAGAAACCATCAAGGTTCGTTTTGAGGCCTGTGCACAGCCATGTGTGTGGGTGGTGGAGACAGGGAGGCGGTGCAGGGAAAAGAGTTCAGATGACACAAAAAGTCGTGATGAATTCACAGCAAATTAGAGTTGGTGTTGGCATCTGCAGGTCATGCCAAGATGTCAGCACGTACAGCACAGTCCCTTTGCCTGTCATTGACTATACTTCTGTGTGTTTCAAAGAAACCAAGTCTACCGAAGAATAAAAAGTGGATGAAACACTTACGCATGCCCCAGAGAGAACTGGAGCGACTTCTTCTTGCCAGAATGGAGAATCGAAACCACTTCCTGAGAAACCCTCGGTTTTTCCCTCCTAATACTCCACATGGAGGCAAATCTCTTATTTTTCCTCCAATTAAGCCTGAACTGATGGGAGAACACCCGAGTGCAGAGCTGGAACAGAGGTACGTCTTTCCCTGACTTACACTCTTGGACAACCTGACCCTTTATGGTAAACCCAGAAGGTCCAGGGTCTGGTCCCCCTAGAGTTTGGGGGGCAGGGTAGCAGTATCCAAATATAGAGCAGGGCTTCAAGGTTACCCACAGACATGGCCTTTGGGCATTCCCCAGAGTCTTGGTCTTATACTTTTCTGATCTGTCAGGTTCATAAATAGGGGAAGAGAGAAAATGGGGGTTGGTGTAGGCCCTCTGTTGACAGTGGAGCAGTTTGGGTCACGTGAGAGGAGTCTTCATAGCCATGTACTCCTTCCATGGAATGTATGTACCTTGGATAATACCAGTGCTTTCAGTTTGATTAGTTAAATGTAGTTAGTGCAAATTGTGATTCTTTCTTCAAGAGTATCTTTGTCTCTATTTTCAATAATTGTTCTAATGAAGGGAACAAATTGCTTCATAGGTGTGTCATTTTAATGGACTTAAAACTATTAGCATTTTTTATTAGACAACTGATATTTTTGTATAAAGAAATATTGGAAAAGACTAACATTTGAAAATAAAAACTATTAAAAAACTAGTTAACATATTGGCATTTAAGCTTCCAGAGTTTCCCCTGTGCATATTGAAAACCATATACATGGCTGCACATGTCTCCATAAGGACTGGATCATGTGTTAAATTATTTTGTAACCTGTTTAAACAACAGCAATCAAAAACCCCAACAAATGGCATACTGTGAATATCTTTGCTGGCTGCCTGTGTTTGTTTTTGTGTTAATGTCACTGCTTGGTATTTTGTCATGTAGAGGACACTCACAGCCTTTCTCTCCCCTGTTTTCCTCCCACAGCTGCATGGATGCTCCAGTGTTTCTTGCTAAACCATCAATTGGGTTTTTCACAGATTATGAAATTGGACCAGTTTATGAGGTAGAAATCTTGATTTTTTATCGATCTCACCTCATTTCCTTCCTTATTAAAAACATCTTTATTATGGAATTTTCAAAATATGAACCATACACAAAACTAGGCAAAAGATGGTAACGTACCCTCATGGGCCCATCATCCAATGTAGTTATCTACATTTTGCAAATTTGGTTTCGTCTGTCACCCCCCGTAACTTCTTCGTGTGTGTCCACATGCGCATTCACCAGCTGGCATATTGTGAGGGAAAGCCAGCACATTCTTCTTCAGTTAATAGTTAAGTATCTCTAACAGACAAGGACTTTTAAAAAGCAACCATAATTCTATTATCACAATTGGCCATACTAGCCAGGATTCCTTAATGTAGACTAATAACCTATCAATATTTGATCTTGCTCCATTTGATTAAAAAAAAGTCAGTGTATTTATTGGCATCAGAATTTAAACATTGCATCTGAGTACAAATAATTCTTTGTTTTCCCTTAGTTGAGAATAATTCCTCCTCCAAATCTAAGTTTTTAAAAATGCCATTTATTTGTAGAAGAAACTTAATTTTTTGCATTCTGGATTTGGCCAGTTGTCTTGTTGGTGATATTAACTATGTCCCTTTATTCTCCACCTTTTACATAAACTGATATGGTAATTAAATGTAGAGGTTTTTGATTAGATGATTAGATTCAGGTTCAATTTTGTTTTCTTTTTGGAAAGAATACTTCTTTAGTGGTACTGTGTATTTCTTATTGCTCAGGAGGAAGCACACTCTCTGGGGTCAGGTGTTGTAAGCCTCTCTAACGTTCTTATCAACCGTCAACTTCCTAGTTAGCAGCGGTGGATGATTGTTGCCTGCTTTTTTTAAAATTGGAGTTACAAAATGGTGATTTATAGTTTTGTTTTTCCTTTTGCATTCATCAGCTATGATTTTCCTATTGGGAGAAAAAAAAACCAACTTTCCCTCTAACTTCTATTCTCATCTCCTCTTCCTTGTACTCTCCTTACCTCGACAGGTTATGATTTCTATTGGTTTGGTTTCTTCCATTGTTTCTTTTTGGAACCATAAGCAAACATGTATATATTTTTGAGTCCCTCTCCTTCTTACTCTCCTCTGCCCCTTAACAGCATACCCAGCAATTCCTCTGAGAGCCACACATAGAGATTTTCTTATCTCTTTTCCCAACTTCTGCCTTAACGCTGGCCTCCCACCACTCTGGGGAATCAGGTCACAACCACACTTGGCTCCACCCACCAGGTGCAAAGGCCTCTTGACAACAGCCCCTTCACATGCAGTGGATTGCACTGTAGAGTTTAAAGAGCTTGTGCATATCCATATCTTTAGGAACTTCTCAACCACTCATGGCAAAAGACACACACACACACACACACACACACACACACCCTTAATGACTGGGTGTAGCAATGTTCTAGAATAGCATGAGGGACCAGAAGTATCACTATAGCCATTTTTGGAAAATCAAATCCAGATTGGTGGATTGTATCTAGTGAGTTCTCTTGGGAATCACCATGTGTCTGTTGGGCCTGTGACTGTGCACATAACAGTGTTAACCAGCTACACTATGAAGTTTAAGGATGTTTCAAATTTCCAGAGTCTTTAAAAATGTATGTTCCATGCACCCTGAAATTTCCAGGGAACGTGCTCCATAGACATAAGTGAACCAAGGTAGAGGAAGACATGGAACATGGAATGAGATCCAACATAGGAGGGGGTGAAGGGAACCCTCAGTTTAAAACTTGTCAGGGAATTTTGGGGGTTTCTGTTGCTGCAGAGCAAATTTCTCTAAACTTAGTGACAACCATTTTTATTGTGCTTATTGATTCTTTTTTAAAAAATACTTTTTTAGTTGTAGATAGACACAATACCTTTTTTTAAAATTTCTTTATTTTTATGTGGTGCTGAGGATTGAACCCAGTGCCTCACACATGCCATGCAAGTGCTCTGCCCCTGAGCCACAATCCTAGCCCACTTACTGATTCTTTGGGTTGGAAATTTGAGCAAGGCACAATGGGAATGGCTTATTCTGCAATGTTTTAAGACCAGGACTGGTAAGTTGGTGTTTAGAGGTGACTCAAAAGTTTGGGATTGGAATTCTCCGAGGCATTTCATTCACATGGGTGCTGATGCTGACTAGAACACTGACTTAGAGCTTCTCTACCTGATCTGGGGTACCTCACAGTGTGGCGGTCTCAGGTAGTGAGACTTTTACATGACAACAAGAAGTGAGCATCCTTGCAAGCCAGACGGCTTTTATGGCCTAACCTTGGCAGCTACACAGCACTACTTCCTCTGAAAGCGAGTTGGTTATTAACTTCAGAAAAATACATGTTTTTGCGAGGGAGGGAAAGAAAGCCGAGTTTGCCTCCTGCTCAGCTGGGAATAGCATTTACAGAGTGCCTTTAATATACTCATTACTGACCTAACCAGTAACATGATGTAACTCTGCTGGGAAGATGGGGGATAGGAAGGGAAAGTCACACATTGAATTGGATATGGGAGAGGAAAGAGGGCATAGCCACATGATCCATCTGCCATTAATCCCTAAAACTGAAGGGGAAAACGTAATGTGCAACTCAGAGACATGGAAATAAATAACAATCAGCTGAAGGAGGAAAAAGCATTTGCCCTTAGAGGGTGGGAAATGGCAGGGTGGAGACCAGGGGAAGGATTTCTATTTTCAAAACCTCGTAGAACTTTCTGCCTCTTCAAACTAGGAGGCTGTCCCACTCTGGTGAAAATAACTTTAAAAAGCACTTTCTATATAAAATAAAAACTACATTGTACCAAACATTCAAGATGTAGGCTACTAAACATTCAAGCTAATGCCTATTGTGTATAAATTTTAATTATAAGCTTTAAAATTAACTTATGTAAGTTTTATATGAATTGTTTTAGATGCTAGAAAAAGAGGGAACCTGCCCTCATTATTAGATAATGAGCCTAAGATTACCTTGACACTAAATGAAAAAATGCAAATTGATCTTGCTGAAGAACATATACAGAAATACTAGGTAAAAAGCAGCACATCAAAGCGAGCAGGAATTAAAAAACAAACATACACACAGGAGTAAGTGTAACTCGGGAATGCAAAGAATGTCTCAGTGGGGGCCGAGTTGGCAGCTGGCTGCCTCAGCCTGTCATTTTTCCCTCCAAGGCTTCTAGTGCTGGTAAGGAAAGCCAATCCACTCCACGCTCCATATAATTATCACTGCCTCAGACCTTCCAGCCTCCCCAGCTACCACTTGTCACTGCCTGACAGTCTACTGTTTCCTCATCCCAGCTGACCACTGGTGGAAGCATTAATAATTGTGATGCTACCATGCTAGGAGCCTCTCACCCTGCTTCCTGCCAGCTAGGGTTCTTACTGCCACCAGACTGGTAAGCCAATTCCAGAATGGCATCCTCAGGGTCTACTGTTTTAGTACCCTTCTTGTACTGACTGTGGGCTCAGATTTCCCTCATAGCAGAGCCTGAGATGGTGAGATTATTTACTATCATTTACAGTTCCAGTGAGGGAAGAGGGAAAGGGGATAAAGGAGGGAGAGCTAATATGAGGCTGTACTTTAGAGCTGACCCCCATTAAGTGCAATCGATTGCCTTGTCTAGTGGGACATGCCCTGAGAAGCCGATAACCCCCTGGCTCCTGTCTTTCCCCAGTGAGAGGTTTGCCTTGCGTGGCTGGAAGCAAGACATGACTCAGTTGATGTGAACAGCTACTGCCAGGAGCACCTCAATTTTTAATGACAGCAGTGGCTGCAACTAGCTCTGTAACTAAGGGATCAGTGCATGCTCTTACTACCGTGGATGTGTGCAGACCTGCCAATAACCATACCCCAAACCAAATAGTTTCCAGTAAACAGCTCAAGGTAAAAGAGCTATTGTTTTAGTAAAAAATATAGCGAATATGGAAAGATTTCCTGAAACTGAAGCACAAACCATAAACGACTGATAAATTTTATATTAAAATTTTAGAAACAAGCTGAGGGTGTAGCTCAGAGGTAGAGTGTGTGCTTAGCATGCATAAGGCCATGGGTTCAACTCCTAGAATGTACACACACACAAATTTTAGGAAGCATAAATCAAAAGATAATGCAAGTTTGTAAACTGGAAAATGTTTATAGTTTCTACTTTATAAAGAATTAGTTTCAACATATATAAAGAACACCTACAAATCAATAAGATAAAAACAAACTCTGTGATGGCAAGAGGTAAGAGGACATGAGCAAACAACTCACAGAAGAGTAAACCCAAATAGCAAATAAACATGAAAAGATGCTCACTATCAATAACAGAGGAATGAAAATTAAAACTGTAAAATGGGTCTTTCTAAATTGTGGCCTGGTTCATAGGTAAATTGATCAAAATGTTGTGCTGGTGAAAAATGGACTTAAGAGGGGCTGGAGATGTAGCTCAGTGGTATAGCACCTGCCTACCATGCACAAGACCTGGATTCAATCTCAAGCACTGGGGAGGGGGGGAACTTAGTTGTTGATTTAGGAATATATATCTCTGAATAAAAATATGAAGGCGTATTTCAAATTTATGTAGATGATATCTGATGGGGAGCTGGTAGAGGGTTTCAACTGAATTTATTCTATTACCTAACTTAAGAAACATGGCTTTTGTTGTGTTATAATTTATACATTTTTTCCTAGTATTATATTTCACAAAACAGAAGAAAAAGATATGTACATGTTTTAGGCTCCCTCCTTTGTGCTGGGTGCTGTTGTGGTTGAGTTCCAGGGCTTACCCTTAGGGATCTCCCACTCTGAGGCAGGGGGAGAGGTGGGATTTCAAAGGGGCCGGATGGGTTGCCCGATGGAGAAGCCCAGTTACAGCCCTGACACACACGTGCCCACAATATATCTTGACTGGGCCTGTGGGAAGAAGTGGCTCAAAGGAAAATGTGGGGAAGAAGACAATACATGAGGTGAGCTGGTCAACACTTTGGATCCAAATGTCTTGAATTTGAATCTCTGAGGAGCCTCTTTGCACCTCAGGTTCTTCACCTGTTAAATAGAAAAAGTGCTCGCCTTTCCTGGTTGTTGAGAGGTTGAGGAGGCACAGAGTAGATGCTCAGTAAATAGTATGATCAGCCTTCTGTATCTGTGTAAGGATAGCTTTCACCTAAGAAGGGCCTTAACCTAAGTGAATCCATTTTGAAATAAAACTGCAGTCCCCACCAGGCACACCTACAGAGCCCTCCAATATGGTCCCCAGTCATAGCCTGATAAAATAAGTCACTTTCCACAACCTTGATAAAACTCAGAGTGAAGTGTCTGTCATTTGCCTTCGTCCTGATAAAGGCAAAAGGCGAGAGATCAGGAAACCACAGATCAGATGGCTTGACTTCAGAATGAAAGACATCACTGAGAAACCCAGTAACAGCTGATAGGGATTGAAAGGGCAGTCAGAAGCCCCAAAATTTAACATAAATGATGGAGCAAATGAACAGACGTTCAGCCAGTTGACACAGATGCACACAAGCCTGAGAGCCTGATGAGGACCTGGGCTGACCTCCCAACTCTTCTCATCTGCCTGATCCTCTGTGTTCTCACCACTCTCAAACTCTACAGCAGCCTCTTGACTCTGGTGAGAACAAGATTTCTCCTTATGACCATCTCCTCTGTCTATTCCGGACTGGTTGCTGCGGTCTGAGTGAGTGTGCATCTGCTGGACTTAAGATCTAAGACTTAAGACTTTGAATCTAGCACTTAAGCTTAGCATGCAGAGGGAATGTCTGTAACAGGTCTGTCATGATTAAGTGTGTTTGCAGTGCTTAGAATTAACGTAGAATTGTTTGCTTTGAATTGATTCTGTCTATCGCAATGCCCAGCATTAAGGATTGTCATTCCTTGATTACGAACCTACAGAGTGAAATTGTATTGAGTAAACAAAACATTGAAAAGAGCAGAAGCGCATGGACATTCTTTATCTCTCTCCTCTACTGCAGATGTCACACTTTTGCTCATGGCGACAATCTGCAAGTTCCATAGCCATGGATTCGACCAAGAATAGATTGAAAATATCACTCTTCCCCATTCTGAAAGTTCCATAAAGCCGAATTTGGATTTGCTGAGTGCTGAGCACTGTGCTAAATTCCTGAAGGTGTAACAATATATAGGCGGACCCTGCCAAAGTATCCCATCATTTCACTTTGAGCATTGTTCACCTTGAGTCTCGTTCACATACTATTTAATTAGGCCTACAAGGTTTGCATCTGTACTGAACACACACAGACATTTTTCTTGTCATTGTTCCCTAAACAATACAGTATAAGAACTATTTACATAGAGCTTACATTGTATTAGTTACTGTAAGTAATCTAGAGATGATGGACACCACAAGGCTGAGAAGTGATAGAGGATGTGTGTAGAGTGTGTGTCAATACTGAGCCATTTTATAGAAGGGATTTGGTAAGGGATCTGCAGGTTTAGTTATCTTCTCAGGTCCTGGAACCAACCATATGGATACAGAGAGACTATTGTAGTTGTTTTAAGCAATGGGACAAAATAGATCAGCTCTACTTCCCTCTTCATCTTTAAGGTTTTAAAATTTTTTTACTGTGGAAACTTCCTGAAACAAACAAAAGTAGGCAGAATAACATAATGAATCCCGTATGCTCATCACTGAGCTCCAATACTTACTTACACATGGCCAGGTTTATTTCATTTATGCCTCCTCCCTTTCCATATTACTTGAAGTTCCAGACACCACATGGCCAGGTCCTTAAATGCTGCTGTCTAAAAGAGATCACCCTTGCCTTTGAACAGATGGTCATCTCGCTGCAGAACACCACCTCTGCCAGTCGCTACCTGCGAGTCCTCCCGCCTTCTACTCCACACTTTGCTCTGGGATTGGGTGAGTTTAGCGTAGTCGCTTTCTAGATGGCTACAAAATTACCTGCTGGGCTGGCTGCCGGGACTGAGCCACCGGGTCCTGCGGACTCCCTGACCTGGGCTCAGGGCTTCTCCCTCAGCAGTCACTGGAGGCCCTCATGCTCGGCTCAGAGCCTCCCAGTGACGCCCCAGCACCACTCTCCTGATCACCTCCCTCAAGGCACTGGTTCTGCCATCTCCTGTGCTTCACGCTGTCACTGCCCTTAGTCAGGCCCTCTTCCTGGCTCATGTCCCTGCAGCCACCTCCCAGATTGGGTGGGAGTGTCGGTCTCAATACAACCCCACTCATGTCACTCCTGCTCAGAAATCTCAAAGGACTCCCTACTGCCCACAAAATAAATTTTAAGCCACATGAGCCAGGCTAACCATTTCAGATGGATCATGGCAAACCCCCACCTCCCCTCCGCTTGGGCCTTAGCTTTGTTTTTTTTGGCCTGGAGTCCCTGCCCTTGAAGCCTGTCCCCTAGCACACCCTGGTGGTTCTGCCTGGCCTTGACCCAGAAGGGATTCACTCACAGAGCCAGACCCAGCTGTGGTTGGTCTGAGGAAGCTAGGCTCAGCCAGGGTGGTTGGTCCTGATCCTCTTTGGTGGCTTTTGTCCTGCGCAGGGATGTTCCCAGGAAAAGGTGGAATGGTGGCTCCCGGCATGACTTGCCAGTACACTATACAGTTTATCCCGGACTGTCTCGGGGATTTTGATGATTTCATTTTAGTCGAGACCCAGTCAACTCACACGCTCCTGATCCCCCTGCAGGCCCGGAGGCCGCCCCCCGTGCTGACCTGTGAGTGTGTGCTACCCTTCCCAGGGATTCAGTTAGGGCCAGGAGTCCCCACGAGGACTACCTGCCCCTTGGGTAGCAGTGTAGAGCTTGGTCCTCTCAGGCTTCTGGGTGGGGGACTGCGAAGCAGCTTCCACACCATCTTCCAGAATGTCAGGACCGACAATGTCAGTGATACCTGACAATGTCAGTGACCTACTGTTCACTTTGGGTGTCCCCTGGAGGTTGACCCACATGGGAGGGAGGGAGGCCTGCAGCCCAGCTAACCCCATCACAGATGTGGCTGGCTGGTGAACACCCCTGACGCCATACTGAGTGAGGCAAGAAGCAAGTGCCGGGGCACCCTGAGGAGCTTGCAGTGGATGTTGTCTCTGTGGCCATGGGGTGAGCTCCCGTGGAAGAATTTCCATTGGGCACCCTCAGTCATAAGTCTTTTTCAGCTGGATGTAGGTGAAATTTGGGACTCTGATCCCCCTCACTTCTGCCACAATCCCTAGGGTCATGCTGGGTGGCCCTGGCCAAGGCAGGAGCCCACAGTGTGTGCGGCTCCCACAGCCTGGCTGGGAGTAGACAAGAGTCCTATGGTGCTACTGCCATGTGGCGCAGAGCAGCTTGAGTAGGACCCAATTGGCACAGGGTCAGGTGTCCCCTTTATCCCCTCTGCTTGGGGTGCTGGCCTAGGACCCCCACATCCTTATGCAGCTGCTGTGAGCTCTGGCTGAACCTCAGGATCACAATGACAACAGGGCCCATTCAGCGTGACCTATTGCCTCTCTCATGCATCTTCTCCTGTGGCTGCAGTGTCTCCAGTGTTGGACTGTGGTTACTGCCTCATTGGGGGAATAAAGGTAACCAGATTCATCTGCAAAAATGTGGGCTTCAGCGCTGGCAAATTCTGCATTATGCCCAAAAAGAGTTGGCCACCACCAAGTTTCAGGGTGAGTGATAATAGATTGGAAAAAGAGCAAATCCATCAAAGCAAATAACCTTCTAGAGGGAGTTGCTAGACTGCACCCCATGATTGGAAACGCACAAAAGCAGAAGGGTTTCCCTGGCATCGCTGAGTGAGGATGAGTGTGGAGACCAAGGTGGTAGTTCTGGTCATGGCACTAACACTATGACCCTGTCAGCCAGGACTGGAAGGCAGGGTCTGTGCACTTGCCCCATTGGCCTGGCTTCTCCAATGCCCGAGCAGCTCCAGCCTGACATCCTTGATCAGCATGAGTGTGCTGTTCTTTGTGTTTAGTAGGGAGATTCCTCTGTACCCTTATGTCCAGAAAACATGTGCTAGATCCAGAGGACCTCACATCCCAAGGAGCATATTTTTCTCCCTTCAGATACCTGCCAGGGTCTTGCAGGCATGATTTTGTATCCCGGGCATGCTCAGAGGCTTCGCGTGTAGACACTGGGGCTGCAGCTCTGCTAACAGGATAGCAGGTGCCCCCCATGAAACAGGAGCACAGGGCCAAGGGTGGGATGGGAATGGAGGCAGACACACACCGGCACCACCGGCAGGATGTTGTGGCAGGGAAAGGACGATGTGCCTTAGGAGGACCTTCTCACCCCCTCCTGCTTGTGTCCCATGCACTTGTCCATGACATTCCTTGCACCTGCTGCCAGTGGTCAGCTCTTTAAAGCTCTGTGACTTCCTCATCTTTAACCTTCAGAATCTTGTGCCTGGCACCTGGTGAAAGGCAAGACAGCGCATGCATGCTCAATGAGGGCATCACAGACTCTTTACAGGATCCCTCAGATAGCAACATGAATGATAGAAGTCTGCAACGTGAGCACTGGGCTTTACACTCTTCCCCACACCTTTGTGTAATCTGCATGTCTTTAAGGCGGTTGCAACTTCCAGCTTTGTTGAGCAGCCTCCCTTTGGAGTCATGCCATCCGTGTTTGAGCTGGCCCCAGGCTCTGCTGTGTTAATAGAGGTAGGTAAGGAGACACTGGCTCATGGTCCTTCCTCTTCATGATTGCTCATGGCTGTTTCTTCCGCTGCTGCATGATTGCATTTGCCTGTGATTTCATGACCCAAGTACATGTTCCTGCATCTTGTAGGCCATTGTCATTTGGCTGTCTTATGACCTCTCTCTCTCTCTCTTTTTTTTTTTTTTTTTGGTACTGGGAATTGAACTCGGGGGCATTCAACTACTGAGCCACATCCCTACCCCTATTTTGTAGGAATGTGGGGTCTGAGTTGCTTAGTGCCTCGCTGTTGCTGAGGCTGGCTTTGAACTCACACCTCCTGTCTCAGCCTCCTGAGCTGCTGAGACTACAGGTGTGCCCCACCGTGCCTGGCCTTATGAATGACCTCTCTTGCAAAGCAGATGGAGCTGTCATTTCCAGTGTAGTCCCTGAACATCTCTTGTCTGTAGCTGGGATTCACCTCCAGCCATTACAGAAAACACTATGGAGGTTTCTCTAGAATTAAAAATAGAACTACCACATGATCCAGCTGACCCTCTGCTGGGTATATACCCAAAGAAATGAAATCAGTATGTCGAAGAGGCATCTGCAATCCCATGTCTTTGACGGCACTATTCACAAAAGCCAAGATAGGGAATCATTCTAAGTGTCCATCAATGGATGAATGGATAAAGAAAATGTGGTATCCATATGCAATGGAATATTATTCAGCCTTTAAAAAGGTGCAAATTCGGTCATTTGGGATAACATAGATGAAACTGGAATACATTATGTTGAGTGACATAAATCAAGCATAGAAAGACAAATACTGCATGATCTCACTTAACTATTGAATCTTTTTTTTTTTAATTTTTTATTGTTGGCTGTTCAAAACATTACATAGTTCTTGATATATCATATTTCACAATTTGATTCAAGTGGGTTATGAGCTCCCATTTTTACCCCATATACAGATTGCAGAATCACATCAGTTACACATCCATTGATTTACATATTGCCATACTAGTGTCTGTTGTATTCTGCTGCCTTTCCTATCCTCTACTATCCCCCCTCCCCTCCCCTCCCCTCCCCTCTTCTCTCTCTGCTCCCTCTACTGACATTCGTTTGTCCCCCTTATATTATTTTTCCCCTTCCCCTCACTTCCTCTTGTATGTACTTTTGTATAACTCTGAGGGTCTCCTTCCATTTCCATGCATTTTCCCTTTAACTATTGAATCTTAAAATAGAGCTTGGAGTAACAAAGTAGAATGGTTACCAGGGCCTGCGGGTGGAGAGAAATTGGGGGGAAATATAGTACAAAATGTATTACAGAGTGAGCTTTCTGCTCTGTGCCAGTATCATCAGGGGAAAAAAAAACACTGTTCTTCTGGGTAGTTTTCATTTGTTTCTTTTGTTAGAAATGAGGTTGCATGTTGTCATCTGTTTTTTGAACTTTGTTTTCACACCCTTTCAGTCTACTCCCTGCGTTACTCTGGGATAGGGCCTGGACTGAAACCTCTAGGTTTGGGGGGGTCAGGCAGGGAGGCTGGGGAGCAGAGAGCAAAGGGAGAGTGCATGTCTGAGGAAGGAAAGAGGTAGGGGTGGGAGCCCCTGATGAGGGGTGACAGGGCACCCTCTTCTCCCCCAGGTCTTGTTCCTCCCAATGAGCCTGGAAAAGGTAGAGCAGACCTTCATCATCGTGTGTGACAACTGCCAAGTCAGGGAGCTGGTGATCACAGGTGGGCTTGTGTGCACTCCTGGGGCCTGGTGGGCACGGGCACTGCGTCGGGAGCTGCTTTCGCTGCACAGCGGCCAGGCTTCACGCACCCTGTCAGGCAGCCGGGGGATGCTGGGGTCACCAGGTGCCAGGCATTAGCTTTTGGCCCTTCATTCTTGGATCTTGAATACCCAAGCTAGAGTGGCCTCCAGGATAATTCAAGGGGCCTTTTGGTGAGGAACAGATGGAAACCTGGGGTGCCATTTTGTAATTTCCCTTTGGATCTCGCTATGATTTCATTTGGGGAATTATCAGCAACACACAGAAACCACCAGGGGCACCTCTAGGTTTCCGGAAGGTTAGAAGGGCCTTCTCAACCTTTCTGCCTTCTCCCCGCCCCCTCCCTTCCTTCCACCCAGTTTCACTTGGCAGGTATTAATTGAGTGCTTGCTATATTCAAAGTTCTCAAAATACCCTCCTTTTGGTCTGTGAAGAGATGGGGACATGAGTACGTGTGCTAATGGCCCTCTTTTCCCTCTTGCATGTGCTTCTGGGAATCATGGTCAAGGGCCACTGAATGAGGGTGGTGGCATGGGTCCTATGGCAGCTATTGATCAGAGTCCTGCCTTCAGCTTACGGGAGCTTCTCTGAACATTACCTACTTGGTCAGGAAGGGGGCAGCTGATCGCTTTGGATCTGATCTATGTTTCTGGTGAAAAAAGTCAACCGGACCCTGGAGAGCTCACAGACTTAACGGCCCAGCACTTCATACGCTTCAAGCCTGAAAACATTCGGTCCACAGCAAGGAAACAGCTGATTATCCGAAATGCTACGTGAGCTGCCCCTGGGTGTGCCCCTGACACGTACCCCTGCCCCTTCCTCTTCCCCTCCTCACCTGACCCTGAATTTCCACTCAGGCCGGAGCTTCCTTGCCTTGGGGATTCTGATCTCAGATTAGATCCAGACTGAACGGAAGGACCCAGATTTACACTATCCATCATGGTGGCCACCAGGCACATATGGATTTTTAAATCTAAATCAAATAAAATTACAGTTTCCTTCTAGGGCGCTAGTCAGTCTAAGAGCTCAGTATCCACAGGTAAGCAGTGGCTCCTCTATTAGTGCAGCTCTCTAAGACTTCCATTGCTTCAAGAATCTCACTGACACAGTGCTGCTCTAAACTATTTCAGACCACCCCGAGCCAGGAATAGTTTTCCACCTTACTTCCTGTGCTGGGGAAGTAATCCTGGTCCCCAGCCCTACATCTGTCGGTTCAGCTCTCATTGCCATTTATTTTCTGACCAGCCTCTGAGCATTACCCTTCTATCGGGACCAACCTCGGGGAACTTCCAGCCCAGGCTACCTGGTGACCTGAGATGCTGACAGCTGCTGTCTACAACATGGCCAGAGTCCTGCCCCTCCTACTGCCGTAGGGTTTTCATTGTTTCTCTTGGCAGTCAGGGGGCACACGTCTTTCAGGACATAGCTGTCCTGGGAGGCGACGGCTGGAGGCGGAGGGCAGGGACGGGTGGATGTGGCAAAGTGTGGAAACTCTCACTTGGTAGAAGATAGTGCAGAGGATTTTCCTAATATTTTCCAGGGGTTGGGGCTGAGGGGGCTAGATACCTTTAGTTTAATGCTTAGTTTTTAGATTTTAAATCTAAATCAATTAAAAGTAAATTAAATTGAATTGATTTAAATGATTAAATTAAATGATTTCCTGAGTTGTCCGTTTCCCCTGATGTGCTGCGGTTCCAGTCTCTAGAGCTGTGGATGAGAAGAGGTGGCTCTCTTTCGTGGCCTCTAATTTGGGCACCCTGACTCACCTACTGTCCTTATGCAGTTCTCCCTAGGCTCCTCCATGGGAACTGCTTGAAGACTGACCTAGTCACTTCCTGTTTCTGGGTGTTTTCTTGCTTTCTCTTGGAGCAGAGCTGGCCAAGCATGGGGTGGGAGGACCTGGTCCTGGAAGAATTGGAGCACAGCATTGGATGTGCTGCCCACTGTCATGATTGCCCCCACAGACATGTGGAGCTGGCTTTCCACTGGCAGATCATGAAGCCCAACCTGCAGCCCCTAATGCCTGGAGAAACCTACAGCATGGACAGCATCAAGTACCACCCTGACAGGGAGACTGCCTTCTCCATCATACCCGAGAAGGGGGTTCTGAGCCCCCACAACAACCAGGAATTCATCCTGAGCTTTTCTCCTTATGAGGTTAACATGATCTCATTAGCCACACATGATCGTATCATGATCTTTTGCCCCTGAATCCATGTTCTTTAATGACATCAAAGCCACAGCTGAGCCTGAACCAGGTACCTGGGCATCCTGCCAAGATTGGCACCTAGATGGCTTAGCGTGTCACTGGACCATATGCCTGGTGAGCAGGACAAAGCAGATCATACTGCCTGGTCCTGATCCAAGACACCCCACTTGCAACAAGACCTGGGCTCATTTCTACATCCCTGGTTGTGTCAAAGCACATTACCATTCCTACCCATCCTACAGCAGTGCCTAGAGAGGGAGGTGCAGGTTCCCAAGGGCCTGGTTAGCACAGGGCCAGTCTAGAGCCCTTGCTGGTGGTTCTCAGACCTGAGTGAGCAGGGCTGCCTCACTATCTGAGAGTTTGTGCTTCAGACACCCCAAGGCCCTGCCCAGGGCCCATGTCAGCCTGGTGGGGGTCGGGGGATGATTTTGTTGTTCCCCGAGTCAGGGATAGCTCCTATCCTGGCAGCAACCCCACTTTCTTAAGAGGTGGCAGGGAAGCGTTTCTGGCACAACTAAGGGGAGGAGAAGCTCCTGCCCACACCTGTCTTCTCTAGGCAGCCTGCAGTATTTTCAGGGTGCTGTGTTTCCTTGTAGCTGAGGAACTACCACAGTGTGCTGCAGATGGTGCTGGAAGAAGTTCCTGAGCCCTTGAAGTGAGTAGGGCCTATGGCTGAGGGTGGGCAGCTGGGCCTAGCCTCCCACTAGGGATGCTTCTGGGGAAGGTTCCAGACAGGGTGGATGAGGAACTTGACCCCAACAGGCTTTGAGGGCTATGAGCATTTTTGCATTGCCCTGGCAATCAGCTTACAGTGGGCACAGGATGCAGGGAGGAGGGTATAGAGTGCCATAGGCCACCCTAGGAACCTTGGGGCTCCAGGCTCACTGTTACCCTTGGATAACCAAGCTGGTGGCATCTAGGTGGTGCTGAGGATGCACTGCTAGGGGTTGGGTCTCCAGTCAGCCTAGTGCAGAGATCCCAGGCTAGGACTGCAGTCTGGTCCCTGGAGGCAGCAGGGCAGTGTCCCCATCTGAGGCCTTCTGTCACAGCACAGGCATTCATAGTCTTCCAGGGCACTGACTGACACTCCTGCTTGTCTCAGGTTGGGAGCTGTGGGTAGGGTGGAATCTTCTTTTCATAAGGCCAACCATGTGGGACAGAGGCAGGGACATGCAGTGATGTCCCGGGCTGCGTCAGCTCCTAGCTCGCGGTGGGTTTGTGTTCAGTTCAGAGGTGAATAATCTGGAGGACTACACATACTCTGTGGATGATGTGATTGTCATGGAAATTGAGGTGAAAGGCTCAGCAGAACCCTTCCAGGTTCTCTTAGAACCCTACGCCCTCATCATCCCAGGGGAGAACTACATTGGCATAAATGTGAAGAAGGATTTTAAGGTAGGTCATCATCTGTCCCCTGTGTGGGCTGACTGAAGCAGTGTGGCACTTGGGTGAGGGTACAGGAAGGACAGAGCTGGAGCAGCCACTGCACAGAGCCTGAGGGCCCCTGAACCCAACGGGGGTTCACATAGATGCCTAGAGCCAGGTGAGTCTGTTTTATTTTATCAATGTTCCAGAGTCTTCTGAAGTCAGGGCTGCTGAACTCACTCCCAGGTTCCCAGGTCATTGGCAGGATATGGCAGGCACCCTCATCCCTGCAGCATGGAGTGAGGGTGCTGTGAGTTGGGAAGGCTATGGCTTCTGGCGGCCAGGAGTTATTTGGGAGGGGGGTCAAGTGGACCCTTTGTGAACCCTCAATCCCACAGTCCTTCAGCAGGTACAGACATGACATGAAAGGGCAGTCCTGGGGCAGCCTAGATTGGGGTGTGTCTTTCAGATGTGGAACAACAGCAAGTCACCCATCAGGTACACGTGGGGGAAGATCAGCCATTGCCACATCATTGAAGTGGAACCCTGCACAGGGGTCATAGGTACCTTGGGGACTGCAGGGGGTGTGACCTCCCTGGGGTGGCTGCAGGAGGAGGTTTTAGGGTTCAAGGGGCCTGCACAAGGCCCTTGGTGTCTTGTGATCAGCTCCGGCATGGCAAGAAATGAGTACAGGCCAGATGTCCAGGCCCAGCCACAGAAGGAAACTTCTCCACTCACTTTCCCCTCTTTCCCAGAGCCCAACGAGGTTGGGGATTTTGAGTTGAACTTTACCGGGGGTGTCCCTGGCCCAGCAAGTCAGGACCTGCTGTGCGAGATCAGAGACTCACCCTCGCCAGTGGTGTTACACATCGAGGCGGCCTTTAAGGTGCTGCAGACGGGGGTTGGGTAGCAGGGTGGGCCCAGAGAGGTGGCAGGGGTAGGACACAGAGCCCACTCCCTGGCTGCTCAGTAACAGATCCTTCTGGATGTCTCAGGGGCCTGCACTTGTCATCAACGTCTCGGCCCTTCAGTTTGGACTGCTCCGCCTGGGGCACAAAGTCTCGAAGTCCATCCAGATCCGGAACATCAGCCAGCTCTCAGCCATGTGGCACATGAGAGAGAGTCCGGTCTGCCTGGAAGAAAGGCATGAAGATGTAAGTTGGGGGCTGCTGGCTCCTAGGATGCCACCTCTCCCAGAAGCCAGTTCACCTTGGCTCAGGTCTGAACTGGGAAACTTGAACTGTGCTTTCCAATCAGAGCCCCGGGGCTGCGAGAGAAGGCACCCTTAGCAATTGTCGCCTGGCCGTGTGTCTAACTCTCCCCACCATGAGGCAGCTCCTCTCCCCAGAATGTGTTCCCCCACCCCAATTCAACAGGTGATTCTGGTTCCCTTTTCTACCATCAGATGCAAAACAGGACCTGGGCTTCTCCCTTGGCTGAGCAGTCTGAGTTTGGAAGCACATGGGCAGCTGCTTTGGGCAGAGGTCATGTACTGCTGGGCTCCTCCAGGGCTAGGATCCTTCTGGGGCCTATGCCTGCAGTGGGTACTGCCAGCAAGTGGCGCCTGGGCACAGGCATGTGGCCCAAATATGAAGACTTAAATCTAATTTTTTGGTTTTTTGTTTGTTTTTATTTGCATTTTTTTAGCCCTTTCTGTAGCAGAGCTCGGACCCCAAACCTCAATGCCTGAAAGCTGACAAGCACAAAGCCTTCTTTTCCTATGAGAGCAAGTCCTGTGCAGCCCCTGCTAAAGGCCAGGGAGGTTGAGGCTCAGAAGCAGGAGGCCACAGCACCAGGCCGACCCTATGGTTGGGCATGGTGGCCTGGGTGGGGTGGGGGAGGGAAAGGGAAAATCAGGCCACTTAGCACCTCCAGGCAGGCATGACCCTTGCACTCACTGTGAGGTTCTCATGGGAGAGACCCAAGAGAAAGATAAGGTCCCTTCCGATATAACCTTTCCATGTCTAGTGACACCCCACTATTCCGTGTGACCCACCCCGGGTCTTAGGGTTACTCAGAAGAATGTTCCATTTCTCATGAGACGGGAAGAACAAAATGGAAAGAACCCCTTCCTAAGTTCCCTTTCCCTCTCCCCCTCAGCCAAGGTCAACATACCTGATATGAGGGGAGGGACAGATCTTCCAGGTGAAGGAGTCCAATCCTCCAAGGAATGAGAGGGTGGAGAAAAGACCACCTGGGTGGAAAGGAGAAATTGTGGCCCCTTCTGCAATCTGGTGGCCTGATGGCTCTCCTCAACTGAAGCTGTCAGAGTCCTGACCCAGGGTTCCCCATAGGGCTCACAGGCTCTCCTCCTGCTCCCCAGCTGGAGTCTCCATCTGCCTGCTCTGGTCTCCCCACATCCTGGGGCCTCCCTCTGCCTTCTACCTCTCAAATCTGGGCCAGGGTGTGGGCACCTGGCTTGTGCATTCCTGTTCTTGGAGACTCACTTTTTAATCCTCAATCCTGAGGCCCTTGCCCAGCCATAGTCCCCCACATGCTTGCCTCTTTCTGGGTCCCAGATGGCTCTGAGAGAGCCAGGGGCCCTTGGAGGTGCACCTGGTTGGGCATGGCCAGCCCCCAGGGCCTCTGCAATTCTCCATGTCCTCACTCCTCATCCTTCTGGATTGGCAGCAGGCATCTCCCTTGGACATTGAGCCTTCAAGTGGTTACCTTTACCCTCTGGGGGAGTGCCAGGTGACTGTAACCTTGGAGGCCTTGCACTGTCAGCGTCTGCAGACTGTACTAGAGCTGGAAGTGGAAAAAGGGACCTGGAGGTACGGGGCTGTGGGGGATGGGAAGATGACAACAGTATGTGCACATTTACAGTATATTTATACCATGTGCAATGATGTATTTATCTAGAGACATTTCTGCATTTAAATTGACTTATACATGTTTATCCTAAAACATTTGAAAATTACCCAGAAGAATATTAAGATGATCCATAATCCATTACCTAGAAATAGTTCACTGATAATATTTTGGGGTATGTCTTTTTAGGATGTGTGTGCTAAAGGAATGTACATTAGTACAACCACCTTCAAAACCATTTTACTGTTTCCTGGTGAGATGTGACATAATAGTGAAAAACTAGAAACCCCAATGTTCATCAACAGGAGAATGAGCACAAAAATAGTGACATATTTCAATGAGCAAATATTTTTGTATTCTGGGAGGGGCACACTGGAGATTCAAAGGTAGTAGTAGTTCTCTTCTTCCTCTTCCCTTGTTTTTTCTTTTTTTGTACTGGGGATTGAACTTAGGGACACTTGACCACTGAGCCACATCCCCAACCCTTTTTATATTTTATTTAGAGACAGGGTCTCACTAAGTTGCTTAGAGTCTTGCTAAATTGTCATTCTGGCTTTGAACTTACAATCCTCCTACTTCAGCCTCCCGAGCAGGCAGGATTACAGACACGCACCACTGCTCTGGCTCCCCTTCCCTTTTCCCTCCCATCTCTCTTTCTTGCTTTCCAGTGGAAAGTTTCTCATCTATATAAAAATAGAACAGTATAATGAGTGCCCATGAACTATCACCTACCTTCAAAAGTTATCAGCTCACTGCAAATAACATTCCATCTACATCCCCCATCCACTCCTCTCAACCCCTTCCAAAGTTACTTTGAAGTGAAATATTTCCTTAAGGCTAGTGGTGATATTTTGTGTCTGAAGCTGGATGGGGATATACCTGTCTTCTTTTTACTATTATTTTTTATATATTTAAGCTCTGCATATATTTTATATTCATTATTGCATGTGTATTCATTATAAAACAATTGAAATGCTCATTTAAAACCTGTATGGATACTCTGGAATTATCCTCCAAAAACACTGCACCATTTTATACTTCCTCCTGTCTGGCCCCATATCCTCACGATGACAGATATTATCTGGCTTTAATAATTTGACCATCTGACGGGGGTGATGCCACCAGTGTTTTGTTGGAAGTCCTTTACTGTGATGACCAGTGCGGGTCTGAGTGTGAGTCTTTCCCACTGGTCCTGCAGGGCACTCTGTGGGCCTTCAACATGAAGGCTAAGTTTGCGTTCACCTCTGGGAACATGGCTTCCATGAAGTCTTATTTTCTTTCCTTTCCTGTCTCTGTTCTTCTGAAAGGACCTTGTATTAACCAAAATGTTTACAGATTGCAGGTGATAGAGCTGCAGACAAGGAAGAAAAAGCATCCCTGCCTTGCCATCCCAAGGGCCAAAACTCTTCCCTTTGTTGGCTGTTCTGTTTTCTCCCATCCTCTACCCTTCTTCCCTCTTGCAACCTCCATCCCAGTCCTAACCCTCAACTCTGCTTCTCTCTGTGGGCCTTTCCCTCCTCTGTTGGTGAGGGCCCTTAGCCACTCTGCCTGAGGAGGCGATCCTTAGAGCCTGGGCTCCCTCTGTGAAAAGTGAACCTGCTTTCTCCAGAGATGGGCCCTGATAGGTCCTCTCTAGGTCGTGTTCCTCCACTTCCCCAGGTGGGGGGTTAGGAGTAGGGGTGAGAGGTGGGCATCTGTCTCCAGAAGAAGAGAGAGAGTGGGAAAGCTTGCTGAGCTCCCACAGCCCACTCAACACCTGCTGGAAACTTGCAGCATGATTTTAACTGGATTTCTAATATTTCTATTTTTTCAATGGCTTTGCTCCTCACTCAGGGAAGGTGCCCTTGGCCTTGTGGCTCACTCTTTCTGCCTTTGGTGATATGCCTTTCTTTGGAAATCATACTTTTAAATTTTAGGTTTTGGGGGTTGGTGTTGTTTTGTTTTGTTTTTGTACTAGGTTTTGAACTAGGGGGCACTTAACCACTGAGCCACATCCCCAGTCCTTTTTTGTATTTTATTTAGAGACAGGGTCTCACCGAGTTGCTTAGGGCCTGGCTGATTTGCTGAGGCTAGCTTTGAACTCACAATCTTCCTGCCTCAGCATCCAGACCTGCTGGGATTGATTACCAGCATGGGCCACCGAGCCTGGCTTTGGGGTTGTTCTTTTTTGATAGAAGTGTGTTAGCGTCTTGTACATACAAAACCTCTTGCATCCCCCCAAGGAATCTGATTTCCCTTTTCTTGAGTGTTTGTCTGGAGACCTTCTCCCTTCGTTTTTTTAGTTTTCTTCTACATCTGGCAACCGTTGGCTGTCCACTGCTGTTTCTGAATGGAGGATCTAGTTGATTTGCACACAGAACTGGTGGCATCAGTTTTCCTCTCAGTAAGTGGGTGTAGGAATGGCAAGCGCCCCTCTTCCAAGGAGTGGAGAGTAGGTGAGCATGTTGCCCCAGAGCACACCATAACCCCAATCCCCTGAGAGGAAGAAGCCTTTAGAGGAAGCAGCCAAGACCGCAAAGGAAGCCCATGTTGGGCAGCTATACAAACCTGTCCATCGCTTCCTTCATAAATAGCAATGAAAGGCTGGGAACAATTTGGTTGTTTTTCCTCCAGGACAGCTGAGAGGCCCAGGGGTACTGGGGACTCTCTCCTGCCCACACCCATGTTCTCCAAGGGTGGCAAGTACTACAGCCCCATCTCCCGTATGTGGCCTGAGCTCCAGGCCCGAGGAGACCAAGCTGATCAAGCTCCCAACCCTCCTTGCGTGTTCCCAGTTCTTTCCCCACGGCCCACTCCTTCCCTTTGACTCTTGTCATTGACAGTGTCAGCAATTCTCTTCACCTGCACATGACCTTCATTCCAGGGGTTTTAGGAAGCAGTATTGTTCTCTTCTGTTGTATCAGTTAATCTGATCACATCCTGTTCTCCTTTTCTGCTCCTTATCCTCCTTTTTTCCATGGAATGGCGTTACATTTACCCCTTTCTTTTTTTTTCTTTTGGTGCTGGTGCTGGGTATTGAACTCAGGGCTTCCCTTCTGCTAAGCACGTGCCCACACAGCCAATCTCTTTACCCGTCTTTGTGAGCTTTCGCAGGTGGCCCCTGTGCTGGACATCATAGTTACCCGTCCTGACCGCTCTCCATCCTCCCTGCTGCTCTCTGGTCCTCCACATCCTTAGTCACTTGTGATTCTCTTTCTGGTGGCAGTCATCCTAGCATGAGAGGTGTATTTCCCTGAGGATTGAATTTGCATTTCCCTTTGGCCAGTGAACAGTGCTGAGCATCTGTTCATACACTCATAGGTTATCTGTGTCAATTTTGCACGATATTTTTTCATACAGTGCAAAAAATGGGTCCAATTTTATTCCTTTCCATGAAGTTAACCCGTTATCCCAGTACCATTTCTTAAAAACACTATTCTTTACCCACCAAATTGTTTTGGCACACTCAAAAACCAATTGATGGACATGTGAGGGTTTATTTCTGGATTCTCCATTCTGTTTCACTGAACCACATGTCTGTCCTTGGGCCAGGTGCCACAGTGTGGATCACTGTGGCCTTGTAGTAAATCTGAAAACTGGGAAATATGAATTCTCCAACTTTTTTTCTTTTTCAGGATTGTTTTAGCCATTCTGGATTCTTTGAATTTCCATATGATTTTATGACATCTCCATATAAATCAGTTGGCTAATTTCTGTGAAAAGCCAGCTGTGGTTTCCATAAGGGAGTGAGTAGCATCTGTAGGTCGATTTGGGGAGTGTCATCATCTTGGCAGTGTTCTCCATGAGTATGTCTTTCCACTTATGTTCTTTTTCATTTAGTTCTATGATATTTCATTGTTTTCAATTCTTATATTTCTTTTATGAAATTATTTATAAATATTTTATGCTTTTTGATGCTTTTGGAAGTAGAACCATTTTCTTAACTTTGATTTCTGGTTGTTCATCACTCCTGCATAGAAACACAAATGTTCTTGCATGTTGGTCGTGTATCCTGCAACCATGCTGATCTCATTTATTCGTTCTAATATTGTTCTAAAGAGAAGGACATGTTATTTGCATAAAGATAATTTATTCTATTATTTCTTCTTTGGATTTTATTTGCTCTTTCTCTAGTTTCTTAGGTGGGAGCTGAGGCTTTTGGTATTTTTTTTTAATATTGGCATTCATAAATATAAATTTACCTCTGAGCATTGCTTTAGCTGCATCCTATAAGCTTTGAGATGTTGTGTTTTCAATTTCATTGACATAAAAATATTTTCTAATTTCTTTTGTGATTTTTTTCTACTTGACCCTAAATTTTTTACTTTATTTATAAGTGTGTTGTTTAATTTACAGATATTTTTGTTTCTCTAATATTTTTCTGTTGTTGATGTCTAACTGAATTCTGTTGTTATTGGAGAATATACTTTATATAATTACAGTCCTTTAAAGCGCACTGAAGCTTGTTTTATGAGCTCTCTTGTCTTCCATTCTGGAAATGTTTTATATGCCCTAAAGAACATATGTATTCTGGCCAGGCATGGTAGCACACACCTGTAATCCTAGTGACTTGGGAGGCTGAGGCAAGAGGATCTCGAGTTCAAAGCCAGCTTCAGCAAAAAGTTAGGTGCCAAGCAACTCAGTGAGACCCTGTCTTGAAATAAAATACAAAATAGAGCTCAGTATGTGGCTCAGTGATCAAGTGCCTCTGAAATCCCTAGTTACCTCCCCTGCCAAAAAAAGAAATATATGTATTCTGCTGTCAGACAAAGTACTGTATATGTCTGTTGGGTTGTTTGGTTAATTGTACTGTTTAACTCTTTCCTTCCTTTGTAAAATTATTTTCATACAAACTTCATTTTCATACACTAAAGTTCCACCAACACAGTTTTTGGCTTATGTAATTGTCTTTTAAATCAGAAGGAAAGAATTTCAATAAAATAACATTTATTCTGCCCTTTATATTTACCTACATTTTATATAATGCAGTTGTATCAGTCAGGGTTCCACTAGAAATTTATTGCAAGGGTTTGGCTTATGTGACTGGCCAGGCAATTCCAGAATCCATAGGGCAGGCCTGCAGGAAGCAAGAGCTGAGGCTGCTTAGCACACATGGAATGTCTTTCTCTGGGTAATTTCATTTCAACTGATTAACTCAGGCCCAGCCACATTATCTAGGATAATCTTCTTTGCTTACCCTGGACTGACTCTGAATGTTAATCATGCTGGCAAAATACCTTCAGATGTCCATCCAGGCAGAACACCTGTTTGTTGAGCTCCTGCTCTCACCACAAGAAAAAATTGAACAAACTGAAAATCATTGACTTCTTAGATCCATCAGAGAATTGAGGTCATAGGATACATTGCAATCCGCAAATCTGGGGGGAGAGGCTAATACAGAATACACATCAGTTAACCTGAAGCAGAAGCTACTGGGGCCATCAATGGGAAGGAATGCTTAAAAAAGTAGCTTCAGCAAATTCTGGAGCTGAATGTAGACTAGCTATAGGTAGAAACTTGGAGGTGCACTAGGTTATCATGGTGGAGATTGGAAAAATTCTCTTGTTTTTCCAGGGTAGGGTGGGGAGACGAAGTGACCATTCTGGAAAAATAACCACTTTAAAATAAGCCTAAATTATTCTCCATATAATTTCTCTTACACCTCAGCATTTCAATTTGGAGTACTTATAAACAGTATTGTATTTTCACTCAATTCCATGTGTTCATTATGTATGTAAAAGCATGATTTGATTTTTGTGCTTCGATCTTATCCCCTATAACTTTGCTGAACTTAGTTCTAGAAGTTCTTAAAATATAGACTCCTCAGAATTTTCTGCATAGACCATCATGACAACTGTATATAGGGGCAGTTTTATTTCTTCTGTCTCCTGGTGTTCCAGCTACCTTCCTGTGTATGCTGAGGTACAGGAGCCCCACGTATACCTGAAGAGCAGCCAGGTGGAGGTCAGCAACCTCTACATGGGGGTGTCCACAAAGTCAACCATCACGCTCGTCAACGGCACGCTCCTGTTCACGCGGTTTCACTGGGGCAAGGTGAGTGAGCCTGTACCATCCAGGAGCAGTCTGCAGCCCTCAGCAACAGAGACCTATGTGGCCCCCCAAATCCCTCCCATAGCATCTGTTCAGCCTCTCTCCCTACCACAGCCCGCCCATAACTCCATAGAGCCCAGAAAAGCTTGGATCCTCAGAGGAGCGGCCCATCTGGTCTGGCTTTGGTCCTGCCTTTAGGGAATTCCAGTTCCTGCCTGAGAAGGAGTTTCTGGTGAACACAGATAGAGCCTTCCAGTTAGCAGAGTGTGTGGCTGGTCCACATAGCTGTCAGGAGCCCAATTGTGGTTCTGCCCCATGGCTCTGAGATCTGTGGAAGATGGAGCCACATCCTTGTATATCAAAGGCATTTGCCTTCCGCTTCCCAACTCTCTGGGCCTCTCAGGGTAGCTCATTTAGTCCGTGCAACCCACTGACAGGTGGTGAAGTCCCTCCAGGGTTGGGGAGGACAGAAGGAACCTTGGGACCTACTGTGGGTCTGAGTCTCAGCCAGCAGTGAGCATGCTGTCTGGACTCGGGTTCCTCTAGGAGCCTCACACAACAGGTCCACAAATGTGTCCACCAGCTCCTAGGGCACCAAGCAGCCTTCTGCACAGCAATAGTCTCTCCCAAACGTGGCCTGCTGGGCCCCAGTGAGGAGCGCCTGCTCAACTTGGAGTTGACCGTGCATACCATGGTGAGTACAGTGATATCAGAACCTGAGTGACTAAGACACCTGTCAACAGGTTGTGCTTGTGCCTCAGGGAGGTCCTGCTCCTGGTCCTTGTGGGTAGGGAAGGGATGTTTTGCATTTGGGTGTAGGATCCCCATTCAAGCTGGGCCAACTTTCTAAGAACACAAGGTCAGAGAGCCTGGAGCAGCCTGGATGTGCTCTGAGACCCTCTGGCCCTTTTGGCACCAGCTTTAGCCTTCTCCAGACCATTCTTTGTGGCTGGGGCGGGGTCCAGCTTTCCAGTTGGCCCAGAGACCTAAGGCAGAGGTTCTGTTCAAGGCAGACACTGTGCCAGATGCTGCTGGAGGAGGTGACTGGTAGCCAGGGTCAGCCTGGGGGAGGCACAGCTTTTCTCTGGAGGGGCCCAGAGGGAGACCATCTGGGTGAACATGATTAGTGCTTGAGCATTGTTGGATATTGCTGCATGGTTCTTGTTGGGGAAATAATTTCTTCCTTGCAAAGACTTGCAAAATCGGGTCTCAGTTTTTCACTGGCAAACATGGGACAGTGAGCTTTTCTATACAGATGATCCTGAGCTCCAGGATGATAGACCCAGGCATAGCATGGTGCAGATCCCACTCAGGAAGGACATGATGTCTATTATAGTAGCAGCATCAGAAAGAATGAGCAGCTCTCCAGAAGTCACTCTGAAAGGTTTTCCTTTCTGTGGACATGCACAGATGTTTCAGGAAGACTCAGCATGAACCCTGGGGATGGGGCCAGGCCTCTGGGGACAGGATGTGGGCCTACCGGCTGGGATTACTAAAGCACACAAGAGCCCTTTCTCAGAGATGAGCCCAGACAAAGGTCAAGGCCTTCATGTTGGGCCACTCACAGAAACCACCTCTGCTGTGGAAGACCATCTGTACCCACCTCTGAAGCCCTGGGTCTGACTGAGCCCTGGATGGGTTTTCTTGTAGGAAGAACTGACGGATCTGGCTCTTCCTTGTTATGTGTCAGGAATGAAAAAGCCACTGGCCCTAGGTATCTCTGGAAAGCCCCAGGGACTGGAAGTGACCATCACTGTCTCCATGGAGGGCTCTGATATCAGGTGAGCCCAGAGTGGGAACAGCTTTACAAAGAACTGGCAATGTACTGAGAGTCCATTCCCAGCTGATTCCTACCACTGGGAAGAGGCCATAGAGTTGTGATGGGCCCTGACCACTTGCTTCTGCAGGAGCAGACCCTTTATCCCACCCCTGTCCTCTGTGTGTCCAGGGCTGCAGGCTCCTTGGGCTTTCCCATATGAGGCCCAGCAACCTGGAGACATGCCAGTCTGCCCCTAGCCAGGGACTGCCCAACAGAGTTCCAGGCCTCTGTTAGCATGGTGGGCAGACAGGAAGGCGGGGTCTGGGGGTTCCAGCTCCATGAGGAGGGAGTCGAAGATGAAGCCAGGTTTCTGGGCAGCTCCTGCACCCCTTCCTAGGGTGGTTCTCTGAGTAGTCCAAAGACCACAGGTAACATAGCGCCCATGGACATGGGGCAATGTTTTCAGGACAAAGCAGTGGCCGGGCCACCTGGAGGAGCTCCACCTAGACTTTGGATCAACGGTGCCACTGAGGACCCGTGTGAATGGCCAGATCATTCTGACCAATTGCTCCCCAATGCAGACCTCTTTCACTCTCAATTTTGACTACTTTGGGAGCCCCCCAAACAGCCTGAGCAAAAGCATCAGCCTGTAAGTCTTGTTTCCTTTGGAGGCTGTCTCCAGGGTGGATGTGCATGGGTGGAGTTTACCTCCTTTGTGGCTTAGGTGGCAAGAGGCTGACTGGTGTAGAAGGGGGCATCTGTGACTTTACAGGGAGATATAGAGAAACAGAGAGAGGAGATGGCTTTTTGCTACCCACTCTTCAATATTGACTGGGCCTGTGGGAAAGGCTGGGATGTGCCCCCTCCTCCTCAGCCTGGCCTGCTGACATGGCAGGCTTTTGAGATGAGGCAGGAGAGGCCCGTGAATGAGGGAGAAGTTTCTATGGATAGAAAGAACCAGGCAAAGATGTGGGAGGGACGACTTAAGAATGGGAGTGTTCTGGGGACATTGGATGGTGTGGCTGGGCTGACGTGAAGAAGTGAGCTGGGGAGGATGACCAGGAGGGAAGACAAAAGGTCAGCGGAGACACTGATCAAGGGAAAAGCAAGACATGGAGCACTGCACCACAGATATTGGCCAAAACTACATTTTAGGACATCTTTTTTGGAGGCAGTTTGCCAGCACACACCTGTGTGAGACCTCAGTGACTCATCTCTTAAAACCACTGCCATGTGCAAGAGGGAGAGCCATAAGCAGTGGATAATCCATCAGCTCTCTGCTCCAAAGGGTTAGTGTGCATCCAGCACTGGACAGAGGTCGGCAGGGTGCACTGGAAATGGGTCTGTTGCAGAAGTTTGGGCAAGAGAGGGAACATTGGGATGGGTTTGCATCCTAGGTAACTAGGGCACAGCCTGGGACAAGGGATCCCTGCCCTAGAGCCCTCCTGGATTTCTTAGGGGATGATCTGTATGACTTGGGGAGTGGCCTGCAGCTGGGGATACTTTGGATGATAGAGGTGTAGTGGGGGCAAAGACCAGAGAAAAAGGTGAAGAAGAGACCTGACCAGCTTTTCCCTGGGAGAAGCAGGCAGTGCCACCTTCCTCTGCTGGATGCAGTACTGTTTTCCATGGGGGCATGGCTCAGGTCCTGGGAAAGGCTTAGCTGTTTTTATGCCAAGTTTTTTGTTTTTTGTTGCCTCCATTTATAAAGCCCTGACTTGCCTCCTGCCCTGCTAAAGTCAGCGCGGATCCGAGAGCACTTGGCCAAAAAAGAGCAGCTGGGTAAGAGCCACCAGGGTGGGGGGTGAGGGCTAAGGGCTGATGCCTGGCCAGAGTGGAGTTTCACCTGGCCTTCTGAGGATGTGGGCCAGCAGCTGCCCGTGAAGAAACCAGGAATGGAGACCTCCTTCTCAGTGTCTTTCCTAGCTAGGTCCTCAAGATGGCCATGGCTTTTCACGTGACAATCTCCTACTCTTGAATGAGGTCATTTCCTTGGTAGGGCATAACCTCATGCACAGGGCCTGAACTTGATTTGGGCTGCATAGTGGCTCATAAAGGAGGGATGTTGATGAGCTCTGGACTCTCGGGAGAGAAGAGAGTTAGCCAGGCAGGACACCAAGCTACTGGTACCTGAGCTAGCCTCCTGACCACAGAGAGGCTGTGGGGTGGCTGGTCAGGGGGAGTGCATTGGTAACTCCTGAGGGTTTGGAACTCACTCTCAACCCCAGGCTCCTGAGCCCTCATTCCTGATTCTCCCCCAGATTTTATGGAAAGCATGTTATCTTATGGGAGAGGAGTTGCATTCTTCCCCCACACTTCCAAGGGTGTGCTGGGAGCTTTCCAGCAGCTGAGCATTGACATCACAGGCTGTGCCAACATGTGGGGCGAGTACTGGGACAGCCTTATTTGCAAGGTAATGACACACAGGCGGGCACACCCCTCTGACTTCCCTTTCTCCAACACCCAGTCCTCAGCCTCTCAAAGCTCACCAAGTTACAAGGTGATCCTACTGATCCTGGGATACCTGCCACAACCTCTGGGATGGAGGCTGGGATGTTCTAGGCAGGAGGGGTCCTCATGAGCAGTAGAACCTTCTGCACTTTTCCCCTTGAGGTGCAGGGCTGGGACCACAGTAAGGACAGAAATTAGCAGACTATGCCATGACCCGAGACCTAGAGAAGGGAGTAAGAAATAGAGGGAATAACAGCCTCCCTTGCCTAGCCTTCTGTGCATTCCATTATTACCCCATGGGTCATTCATTTGCTCCTTCACTCAGCACACATGGAGCTCCTACTGTGTACAGGGTCCTGTGCAGTCCTTAATACTAGGGGAGATACAAGGATGAAATCAATGACCAGCCAGGAGATAAGGCCTGCAAGGAGCCCCCTGGTTTACCATGGCAGGGTAAAACACACGTACATTATCCTATACACCATTCTGTTGTTGCATAGATTTTTGTGAACTCTTTAGTAAGTTAAACAGGCTAATTATAGTAGATATTTGCTTTAAGTTGCTTGTATCATGTACGACAAATGGTTGCTTATGTTAATACATAGTTACTAAATAACAGTAAGGGGAAAATAAAGTATTGCAAGTAGCAAAGGGTTTGAATAGGTGATTCAAAGAAAGACAAGTCCAAATAGCTAATACTTATATTAAAAAAAAGTCATCACTAGTAGTTAAATAAATGTAAGTACAATAACCACAAAATACTGGTTTGTGTCAGATTAGCAAGGTTTGAAAGCTATTGGTGAGGTACGGGGAAAGGAAACATCTTAGCCTGGTGGGTCCAGAGGTAGGGAATGCCTCTGGCCTTTGGGAGCACTTGGGACTGTGCCATGTCCAAATTTAAAGGGTCTCCAAGAACACATCTGTAGATTATGTACAAATGACTTCACAATAGGCTGCTTTTCTTTTCAGCATTATTTGTAATGGCAGGGAGGAAACAAATATGGATTTGTGTCCATCTGTAAAAGACTGGATAAGCCATTGGGCTGCTTCCCTACAGTGGAATTCTGCAAAGCCTAGCCTATGATATCATGAATCTGTTTTAGTAAAATTATATCATTAAGAGAAAAGGTTATTAAAGAACAACCTGTTTGGCATGCTGCCCACCTGTATCTGTCTTAATGGACACAAAGGAAGGGTGGACGGATACATGCTAAGATGGCGGCAGTGAGTCCAGCAGGGGGAGAATTATGGGTGATTAGTACACTAAGTTTTTTCCCCAGAAATAAGCATTTATTACTTTTAAGTAACAGAGAAGAATAATAAGGGTTTTTTCCCCCTTTAAAAGTTAACAGAGATTTATGCAGATGGAGGCTGGCAGAGCCCAGGCTGGGGCTGTCTGGAGAAGGAGTCAGTGGGAAATGAGGCTGGGCCAAGCCAGGACCAAGCTGTGGGGTGCTTGAGGTGGCTGGAGGGAATGCAGGGGCAGCTGGTAACAGGGGTGACAAAGGGTGTATTTGCAGGTGGGAGACCTGCCACCAGCAGTCATCCCAGTGCACATGGCAGTGGTGGGCTGCCCCATCAGCTCCCAGCGGACCACCTCTTACATGGCTGACAAGTCACAGAAGGAGCCCATCATCAGGTGCCCCACCCTTGCCCTCATCCTCTGCTCCCTAGTGGCTCCCCAAACTCTCCAACCTCCAGCTTGGGCTTCCCATCTACCTCAATGTTCTCCATATGGCCTAAAGCCACCTGGTGCCACCTACAAGGGGTCCCAGGTTAGGTTATTCCTGGGGGAAAAGAGGCCTTAGGAGACGTGGCCACCACCTATGGGTCTCTGAGGGACTTTGGGGTGGGGGGCAGAAGTAGTGAGTAGTCCGTGTAACTCAAGGTCAGTACCAGACCTAGGGCTGCTCACACAGATGAGCTGGGATCAGCATAATTCAGGGGACAGGGAATGGATTTCCAGAGCAGTGAGCTGCCCCAGGTTACAGGCCCTCAACCAGTGCACAGGGAAGGCCTCCAGCCCTGGGTCTCAGTGTCACCAAGGTGAGGACAGACCACTGTGGACCTCCTGGTCCTTATCTCATACTCCTCTCTGCAGTATCCCTGCCTGCCAGGTGTATGCCGTCTGTGGCTTGCTCAATCCCATCTCTTGCCTCCAGGTTTGGGACCCAGGTCTCTGGAGGAGACACAATCACACGGAAACTTCGCCTGAATAACTCCAGCCCCTGTGGTGAGATGATTGTGAGATAAACTGGGGAGGTGCTCTTGGAAGCTGATGGCCCCGAACAGGATGTGGGGGCCCGTGGTTACCAAGGGAGGTCCACAGGGATCAAGAGGGAGAGTTGACCATGGCAGTCCAGGGTTGCCAGAGAGTGCCTCTCCCATCATCGAGGACGGGATCTGCTCTTGCCTAGCCTTGGGTCTCCCAGTATCAAAGGAGCCACAGAGCCTTGCTGTCATCAGGGTTGCTGGGCCTAGGGCTACTTCCAGGGGACCCCGTTGCTCATTCCTTCAGCAGGCAGGACCTGCACTCTATCCAGGATCTGAGCAAGAAGTTGGGGATACAAAAGGCACAAGACAGCAGGGTCTCTGCCTAGGGCCCCGTCCTATGGGTGTGACTGTGCATGGAGGCTAGCGCCTGAGGATCAAGGGGCCTGCATGTCCCCAAGGAGGGGCACTTAGGCTGAGTCTGGAGGGAAAATAAGCCAGCATTGCTTGGGGCAGTGAGTGATGACAAAGAGTATTCTGTGCCACCAGAAGAGCTATGGGCAGCTCAGAGACTTGAGGGAGACAGCAGGATCAGCCTGGCCTCATTGAGTCCCCTGGGGAGTGTGTGAGGCATCCCCAGGCTGACCCCCCTGGGCAGAATGAGCCCGTGTCAGGTGGCAGGACTTGGCACTATCATAGCTAAGCTGCCCAGGCTCTCAGGAAGGCATGGCCGCAGGAGAGAGCCCTGCTCTAGGACAGATCTCTGCACTTCTGGAAGTGTTGGCAGTCTCTCCTCTCCCCACATTCTAAGTCAATGTCTCCTTGTATTTGCAGTTGTTTTTCTTTATGCTTTTAGCTGCTATATTGGTTGGTGCATTTAGACACTGGATATTCTTCTCAAATTGAGTCTTGTCATTTGTATTGTTCCTCTGACTCCTATGGAACGCTGCTGGCTAAATTCCATGTTACTTTCTTTTGCTCTCCTTGGTGTCTTCTCATTGGTATTTACCTGGGGTTTCCTTACCCACTCTTCCATTGTCACCCTTTATGACTTTGTTTCTGGTGAACAGTAGACAGCCGAGTTTTTTTTTTTTTTTAAACACCCTGACATTCTCAATGTTTGAATGGGAAAAGTTAGTCAATCCATATAATTCTTCCATCTCATTTTAAGATTTATTTTGCTTTGTTATTTGTTTTTCAGTTCCTTTTTTTTTTTTTTTTTGTGGCCTTTGTTTATCTTCCCTCTTTACTTTGGGCTTTCTTTTCAGCTTCCCTTCCCTCTGGTGGTTCCTCCCCTTCCTTGGGCTCATAATCACATGCACATTTCTCTATTTCTACCTGGAAGATTGTCCACTGGACTTCAGAGTTGTGGTGTCCTTGGTAAGAGGCAGGTGCTAAGTTGATAGCAAACATAAGAAACAAGATCAGGAGCCTTGGGTGTGTGTCCACTGGGTATTCACCAGGGCCCAGCCCAGTGGCTAGCATTATAAGGTCTAATAAATCAAATGCTAATTGGGAATGGGTGAGAGATGAGAGGGAGGAGGTGGGCTGCCAGAGGGAAGCTTGTTCATGATGGTGGACCTGAACTTGTTTCAGTACTGTCAAAAAAATAGCAAGATGTAGAGCTGGGCACAGTGGCGCACACCTGTAATCCCAGCAACTCAGGAGGCTGAGGCAGGAGGATCGTGAGTGCAAAGCCAGCCAGCAAGAGCAAGGTGCTAAGCAACTCAGTGAGACCCTGTATCTAAATAAAATACAAAATGGGGATGTGGCTCAGTAGTTAAGTGCCGATGAGTTTGGTTATACAGAAGAGAGGGGATACTGGACATGGCAGGCCCCTAAGAAAGGGGGTCAGGAGTAGGGCTGAAGGCAGGAGGAGAGGAGGATGGGACAGAGGCAGACAGACACGTAATGTGGGAACAGGCCTTCAGGAACTTCTGGGAGATGAGGTAGGGCATCAGGGATGCAGATGGAGGTGTTAGGGACAAGTTGATATTGTCATGGTTGGGAAGGAAGGCAATGTGGGGACCCAGTTTAGGTTGGGGACAAATATACAGCAGTGGCAATCTCTTTAGCTCAGAGACTTTCTCCATGGTGCCCAAGAGAACGGTGCAGTTCATTGAGGGCTGGGCTAGGTGAGTGGGAGGATGGGGGAGCAAAGGAAGACATGAGGTTGCCAACAAGGCAGAGGCTGAATGGAGGCCCCCAAAGACTAACCTGGCTGGGGAAGGAAGTAACCGCAAACATAAGCTGACAGACGGAGGGAGAGAAGGTAGAGGACACGGGGATTGGAGGGCCCATCCTGACAGCCAACAGGCCAGAGAGAGAGGAAGCTGTGGTGAGAGCGCAGTGTCTAGGTTCATGCAGGTGGAGCTGGAAGTGTGGTCGTGAAGGCTTCAGATGATTGGACCGGAAGGCGTACGTCTGTAAAGGCTATTTTTTTAAAACAAGAATTGCCTGAAGGTGGCATTAGAAAGACAGTGAGGCCCCCTCCACCATGGGCATGGGAGAACAGAAAGGTGGAGGCCCCAAGGAGACCATCGGCGCCTCCCTTATTCCTTGCCCTCTCCCCATGTGTGCCCTAGACATTCGCCTAGACTGGGTCACCTATGTTCCAGAAGATAAGGAGGATAAGCTGGTGGACCTGCTAGTGTTTTATGGACCACCATTCCCACTGCGGGATCAAGCCAGAAATGAGATCGTGTACCCCGAGACCCCTGAGAGCAGCAGCTTACCCTGGTCCCCAAGCCCCTCCAGCGTGTCCGAGTCCAGCCATGCAGCTTCTTTTCCAGTGAGCAGGGCTGTGGGGGCAGGGGAGCTGGCCACTCGGGGTTGCTGAGATACAGCCCAGGGGCCGGCTGAGCCTGTATAAGAGCTTCAGCTACTCTTGGTGACAGGTGGAGGCCTACTCCAATGCCAGCACCAGGGCTGCAGCGCAGATCATCTCAGTTGTCCTGCAGGAGCATGCGGGGGTGCCCTCCGACCTCCCCTACTATATCAGACCCCAGCAGGTGGTGAGTGAGTCCAGGTGGACCTGTCTCTGGGGGTCTGCCCTGGCCTCCCAGCAGGCACAGGGCAGTACTGAGGCTGCTGTGTCCATGCAGGTGGTCCCTGCTGGGGGAAGTAGCACCATCTACATCTCCTTCACACCTCCAGTGCTCAGCTCCGACATCCAGCAGAAGGTGGAGTGTACTGGCTACGCCCTGGGTTTCATGAGCTTGGACAATGAGGTGAACGTCCTGGGGTGGGGACCATAGCCACTGCCTCTCTCCTGGGTGGCACAGTGCTGTTCGATCCAGGGACCACCAGGGTGATCAACGGTTGATTGGGCTCTGTAGGTAGAAAGAGAGATTCCCGGAAGGAGGCGTCGCCTGCAGCACTTTGCTGTGGAACCCCTGAGACTGGACCTGCATGGGCACGTGAGGCATGCGCAGTGAGTGCTGGGTGGTCCCCTCTCTCTCCATCCCCCTATGGGGACACCCTCACCGTCTCTGGTGAGGCCAGTCAGGGTTATTGGAGTCAAAGGACAAAACTACTTCTTGGGCTCCTAGAGTAGAACACTCCAGGAGAAAGCTCCCACCCAGGCTGACCCACCTCCTGCTGGGGGCTGAGGGGAGGAGAAGCCAGCAGGGAAGCCCAGAGAAAGGCTGGCTAGAGACCAAGTGAGCAGAGGGGACAGCCAGGAGGCCCCAGATGCCTGGCTGCCCCAGCAGTGTCTATCGCTGGGCAGACTAAGCGTGGAGCTGGACAGCAGCGGCAGCTTGGAGTTCTGGTGCCAGGCCAGCGACCTCATCCCCGAGCAGCCCTGCTCTGCGGTAAGTGCTGCTTCCCCGCCCCTGGCCCTGCCAATTGACCTGAACCTCCAAGGTACCTAGGGGCCCTGCTGGGGCACAGGCCTTCTGTCCTGAATCCCCTCCCCAGAGCCACAGGACTGAGAGGGTGAGATGAACCCCAGCTCCCCTCTTCTCTGGCCACCCAGGTGCTGAGTGAGCTGCTGACCACCCGCCACCTGAAGCTGATTAACACTACAGAAATACCACAGTACTTCTGGCTTCTGGTCTCCAGGCCCTTTTTTGTTTCTCAAGGCCAGGCTCCTTTGGACCACAGAGCTGGCTCTGGCCAGGAGCACGAGTCTGAGGAGACGGCCCCAGGGGGCAAGCAGATGGAGCTCCGGCCACAGGAGAACATGCTGGTCAGTGGAGGGGTGCGTGGCTCTGGTCTCTCTGTACATGCTCACACTGCCCAGACAGCACCTGCACACCATCCCAGGCACACTCTCTCTGCACAGGAGGCTTTCACATGTGTGGAGGGACTGGTCAGAGTGCACCAGCCACACAAGTTCTACAGACTCACCCAGGCCTCCCCCACTGCCTGGTGGGGGCCCATGCGTTCCTCCTCCTCTTCACACTCAGACTCCCTTCCTTCTCACATGCCCTCACTCAAGGGTTTATGCCCCCCCCCCCAAGAACCTCCTCCCAGAGGTAGAGGAGCCAGACACAGATCTGCAGAATGGTGGGTGAGTTCCTATATCATTCTGCCTTGGTTCTTCCTTCTGGGGCTACATGGGGGGGAGAAGGGGAGACCAGAGCATAGCTAGAGGTCCCTTTTGCCGGGGCTCCAGGGTTCCCCCAAGAGACTCAGGTTTAGGTATTTAAAGCCCTCGGGCAGCTTGGAGGAGGCCCCATGGCTCCCAGGGAAAAGACATCATCACATGGTGGCACTGCCCCTCACCCTGTGTGTGTAGATAATGCTCAGGCATCTGGCTCCGGACCAGAACTCTCCCCTCAGTTTTAGATCCAAACTCAAACTGTAAAACTGAATTCCCCATAACCCTCCAGACCCTGTCCTGCTCCAAACATGTGCCTTCTCATCTCAGCAAATACTACCTGCCCCCTAGTGCCTAGATCAGAGCTCTGTCTCCTCCTCCTCCTCCAACCAACTGCCAAGCCCCATGGATGCCCCTAACTCTCGGTGCTTCTCACTTGTCCACACCTCTACATGCATGTCTTGTTCTATAACAATTATTTCCAAGCCTAGCAGTACATCAGTGGCCTTTAGAAATCTTGTTAAACATACAAGGTCTCAGGCTCTACTTTCAGAGATGTCACGATCTCAGCTAAGACCCAGGAATCTATATTTGTAACAAATGCCTCAGTCGATGCTTATGAGCTAGCACATGGAACTATCTGGGAGCCAGGAGTCCAAGCCCCATCCTGTTGGCCTAAGTTCGGTCTCAGCCACCTGACTGCTGTCCTCAGCCACTTATGCTCCTGCAGCCCACCTCCCACTAGCAGCCAGAGTGACCTTGTGGAAGGCAAAGCTGACTTGGACACACCCCTGCTTCAAACCCATTACATGACCCTCACTATCCTCAGGATAAAGGCAAAGTCCTTCCTTGGCCTATGGATGGCCAGAACCCAGCTCTGATCAAGGGCAGTTTGCTTATTGTCCTTCTACTCTAGCCTCTGACTGTGGAGGGCACCAACAGGGTGCTGGGCACAGCACCGGTGCAGGGAATGGATGTGCCAAGCAGGGGTGCTGTGGAGCTGTTTGTTGGGAAGCCTGGGTCAGTCTGGGCCCTGTAGGCTGCAGGGACGTTGCTGGGCCTTCAGAGGCTTGGGGGAGCAGGATACAGCTCCAGATGGGGGAAGCAGCACCTGCTTTCAGCAGCTTGAGCCAGCACCTGTCCATACAGGTGGATGTGTCCTTCTCACTCTCCCTGGAGCTGCTCTCCTACCAGAAGCTCCCGACCGACCAGATGCTACCTGGAGTGGATATCCAGCAGAGCACAAGTGGAGAGAAAGAGATGGTGTTTACTCAGGATCTGCTCCTGGAGTTCACCAATCAGACCACACAGGCTAGTCCCAGGAGGGCTCCTTGAGACGGGGGGGAGAGTAGGACTAGCTGAGAGCTATTCCCTAGAGTGAGGAAGATATCACCAGGCAGGGCCTTCATATGAGGAGCCCTGGCCCCTGTCCTGAGGACAGTCTGCCTGGAAGAGGCCCTGTGTAAGGAGAGTCCTCATCCTCACCTGTTTCAGGAGCCGAGTCAGGTGAGGGGCTGGAGGATGGGAAATGAGGGAAGGCTCCCTGGAAGAGGTGACAGGTGAAGCCTGTGAAGGGAAACCACACAGGTCAAGAAAATGGACGAGTGGGTGGGACATGAGCACCTGAGGCAGTTGTGAAGGATGATGCTCAGGCTCCATGGGGCTCCACTGGCCAGGTGGTCATGGGCCATGATGTGGAACAGAGGGGAGCAAGGAGCTGAACTGGGGCTGTGGGTCAGGTGTAAGAAGGAAAATGGGCAAAGCAGGGGAGCTGGAGCACTGCTGCCCAGAACAGAGTAGCTGCTGGGGCTGACAGTGCGGCAGGGGCTGCTGAGGTGCTCTGGCAGGCAGGGCATGGGTGGAGAACCTGAAGGTCAGGGCTGAGGCAGGATGGCCCAGGATCTGAGACTGAAGACTGGGAAGGGAGGAAGAGTGAAAGAAAGAGGCTGACCTCCATGGGAGCAAGGCTGGCACCAATGAAAAGGACAGCAGAGGGCGCTGTTCTGGCCTGTCGCTGTGCAGAATCTCACCAGCAACTCCTGGCTTATGATGACAGTGCCAGCCCCCTGCTGCCCACTGTGCTGCTACCACTGCTCTGCTCAGAAGCATTGGTGCTCATGGGGCATCAGGGTTCCATGTGATCCAGTGACCCTGGCTCAGACCCCACTATAATGGGCAAGGTCACTCCATTCCCATCAAGTCAAAATCTGTTCCCCAGGTTGTGCCCCTGCGGGCCATTGTGACTGTGCCTGAGCTGCAGCTGTCCAGCAGCTGGGTAGACTTTGGAACCTGCTTTGTGAACCAGCAGACATCCCGGGAGATCTACCTGATGAACCTCAGCAGCTGCCGGAGCTACTGGGCTGTGCTGATGGGTATGTTGGGCCTCACACCTGCTCACTGTTCCCAGGTGGGGCTGGGTAAAACTTATCCCTCCCAGTATCTGTGTGTCCTGTCCCTTTAGACTGGCATCTCTGGGCTCATATCACTTGGAATTTCTAGAGACAGGTAGTCCTCTAAACCTGTGACCCCAGGTTTCCCTGTCCTGTGGAACTGGCAAGACCAGAGGTGAATCTTGAGAGGATGGGCTGACCTGAGACAATTAAAGGCTTCCAGGACAAAACCTGGAGCTGCCTGTGCCCATGTGTGTCTTCCCTTCCCCTTGATGCAGGTCATCAGAGTGCCATCAAGGAGGCTAAAGACTTTGTTGTCTCCCCAAGCAGTGGGTTGCTGGAGGCACGACCCACCAATGCGCCCCCAACCTCCATCACACTTGAGGTGTTCTTCACTCCCAGGTACAGCTCCTCCCCACCTTCTGGCACTATCCACAGGGCTGGGGGGCCCTGCAGATCTCAGCCCCTCCTCTTCCACAGGAGCAATGAGCTGTATGAATCCACGATGGTGGTCGAAGGCATGCTGGGAGAGAAGTCCTGTGCCCTGCGGCTCCGGGGCCAAGGCTCTTACGATGAGACATTCATGGAAACTCACCAGCTCTGAGGCTCACCCCACCCCTCAGCCCCAGACTTAGCTTAAGGAACAAGATGGCACAGGTTGATGAACAGGTGTGCGGGGCAGAGACATGGACTGAGGATTTCTAAACAGCTCTTGGGATGGAGGAGCCCCACCCCCTCTGAGGCAAAGGTCTTGCCTTAGGCACTACATTGTAAGTCCCCAAAGCTAACACAAAAGAGGCCACACCAATGTGGAGATCATAGCAGTTCAGACTCGGATGAAGCACACAGAAGTCCCCCAGGGAAAACACCCACCCACTAAGATAACACACGATTGATTATACCATTGTCCCCTCCTCATTCATGAGGCCACAGTTTCCTAGGATTTACATGGGGGCCTTGTGGGCTGGGTGACCCACAATGACTTTGGCCCAGCTAGAGGGGGCCTTTTGGTAAGGCCCAACACCCTGCCCACTCCTGTACTGTGTTATCCATGTTCATAGTTTCCAAATTATTTAAAGTGCCTTGATTTGTTCCCACCACCAGTGCCGAATGTCCCATGTGGATTCGCTTCCCAAGAGCCACTCTCTGGCTGCCAGAGTAGGGCCGTCTGGGTAGTACCTTGAGCCAGGGACTCAGTTCACAGGGTATTCAAAGACAGTAGCGGCTCCCATCCCCGTGCCAATGCACATGGATACCACTCCATACGCCCTGGGAAAGGGAACTATGTTGGCTGGGCACAGGCACTCTGGGCAGAGGCCCAACCCCCTGACCAGAGGATACAAAAAACCAGAAGACCAGATCTTGGATATTCAGTCCCCCGACTACGTACCTTGGCATCACAGTGGCAGCTGCACTCTGTAGGCCAGAAGCCCTTTCAAGGCTGACCCTCAGGGACAATAGAGATCGTGTCCCTATATGCCCAGTTCAAAGTGCATATTGACCTCCCCAAGCTACCACCCTTTGAAGCCCCAGCTCAGCATCCCCCATGACACCCCAAGGGGAACAGCCTTACCTCTTCCCACAGCACTTGAGCTCATTCAGCAGCTGATGTCCTGTCATGCCCCAGTGCAGCCCAGGGGGTGGCCCGGGGCCACCGCTCCTCCCAGAGGGTTCATCTCAGGGGGGATTCCTAGATTTTCCACACAGTAAATAGCCTGGACATGCTGACCCCCTCCCCTGCATGGCTTGTCCACTGGCTCCCACTATGTGCCCAGGGACCAGGCAGTGGGAAGACTAAGATTCACCTGGCCTCACTGATATCAAAGATGTCCATATCATTCACTGTCAGCCCTGGAGGTGAGGTTCAGACCTGGGCAGGCATCCTCCAGGCCAGCAGCTGCCCCATCACTCACCTGGCTAGAGTTTCATAGGGAGAAAGAGTTGGGGTGAGGAGGATCAGAGCAGAGGAGAACCAGCCCACTGTGGCAGACATGCAACTTTAGCCTACTAAATGATGCCCATGGGCAGGCATCCAGATCTTCTCAGACCTCCACCCATGCACAGGCTCACAATTGCCTAGTGTGCTGTCACATCAGACAGGTGAGTCAGCCTCAGCTATGGGTCACGAAGCCCTTGGGTATGGAGTGCCAGCCTGCCCCATCTTTACTCTGCAGCACCCGCAGTTCTATCCCCAGTACTCGCCCCCAGCAGCAGGGCATGAGGGGACCCAGGTCTAGGGTCTGAAGGAGCCACTGACCTGCATTCTCCAAGGCTGCAGGAATGGCATATGTAGGTCCGATGTCCATGACATCAGGGGGGGCGGGGGGAGACTCCAACCTGCATAGGACCTCAGGACCCCGAGGATGGGGAGGCCCAACTCTTCTGCCTTCGACCTCTGGGCCAAGAGGATGGCAGCTGCTCCATCGCTCACCTGGCTAGAGTTTCCTAGGGAGAAAGAGTTGGGGTGAGGAGGGATCAGGGCAGAGCAGAGGAGAACCAGCCCACTGTGGCAGACATGCAACTTTAGCCTACTAAATCTGGGGACATGTCTGGTCCTACAGGACATTTGAGAGACTGGCTGGAGGTCCTGAGGAAATGCTGCCCTAGGGAGGGGAGGATGCCTGGGGCCATCCAGAGTCATCTTTGCTATCAACCCAGACTGCCACCAGGGGTTGCCAAGGGACCTGGTCTGCCCCAGACTCCAGAGCAGAACAGCCAGCCTGGTAGCAGTCCCTTGTGGACCCGCCATCTTTGAAAGCAGGCTTCAGTTTGGCCAGGCCCTCCATGGTGGTGTTGGGGCGGATTCCCTCATCCTGGGACACAGTGATGCTCCTCTTGATGCCCTTGTCATCGTGGATGGTGGTGGTCACAGGCACAATCTCAGCACGGAAACAGCCCTTGCTCTGGGCTCTTGCTGCCCTGCCAGCAGCAGGCAGCCAGGCTCTCCTGGAGCTCCCTTCCTCCTGTCCTCACTCTAGCCCATTGTGGCAGACATGCAACCTCAGCCTGCTAAATTCAGGGACATGTCTGGTCCTAGGGGACATCGGAGAGACTATCTAGAGGTCCTGAGGACAACCCTGCCCTGTGGAGAGGGAGCCTTGCTGTGGCCATCCAGAGCCTCCTTTGCTATCAACCCAGGGTGTCCACATCCTGGCTGATTCCAAACTCGGGAGAAGGGAGCTTGCAGGTGGTTTTGCTTCTTAGAGCCCTTTGCCCAAGACTCAGCCTGTCAGTTGCCTCTGCTAGTCTGAGGCTGGAGCCCCAGGAACATTTGTGATGGCTTCTGCTAGCTTTCCAGGGTGACCCCAACATCTGAATTTCACCCTTTCCTGATTCCACAAATCTAAAGTGACATATCCTAATTTCTGTGATGTCTTTTCCAACTCAAACAGTTGAACCCTGAGGTATTTTAGGGTTACCCTTGCAGCCCTATGCAAACTACACCACCTAGGGGCATTTCAATAGGAGGAACCCAGAGCTTCCAGGAAAGCCCACAAGACAACCTCACCCAAGAGGCTAACAGTCCCTCTCTTGGAGAAACCCACCTGGACCAGGCACAACTCCATCTTTTCTGTCCCTTCCCTGTATGGTCAATACTGGCTGATTTAGCTTGCTGCCCAGAGGCTAAGCCTGACGTTTTTGTGACATCAGTTCAAACCCAGGCCTACTCCAGAAGCTAGTGTGTCTAGTCCACAGAATCACTGTCCTCACACCCCAAGCCTCGAGGAAGCCTCTGGATACCAAGTCCAGTCCCCAAGCCAGAGTCAGGTTGGAGTCATGGCCCTCCTTACGTTTCAAAGAACATAGGTGGAACTGAGGCTTAGGTAGGGAGAAGGCACTCAGACTCAACATCAACAGTCAGTCTGGGACAGTGAGCGGCCACCAGTTCAGAATGGTACTACACCCTTTCTGTTCCCACCTGGGAGGTATGAGGCTTGCAAAACCCTCATTCACAGCTGTACCCTTGGGTACTTTTGAACCAGTCAATTGGCAGCTCCTGAGAAAAGCATTCTAGTATCCCCCACAGTACAGGAAACACATCCAGTAAGCCCAGGCCCTGTCCTCAGGGCCCACCAATGTAGAAGAGAAGAGACAATCAAGTCTGTACAAAGCTCACATTGAAAGCCAACCTGAGCTGTACAGGCAGGGAGGTGTAACAGGCTGAGAAGATGGGGAGATGTCCAGGGTAGAGAGGTCTCTCCTCTGAGAGGAGAAGGGAGGCAAAGGCCTCAAAAAAGATAACAGGTGATCTAGATTCAGTGTCAAAGTCCATCTCAGAACACTCAGCATAGCCTCACAGTCTCACCCTCTAGCTCTTTCAAGGTCCCACCCCAGCAACACTCACTTCTGCTGGGAGGCCACAGCAAAGGTGTCTTGTTTCTCCCTTGAAATGCCAAACCACTCAGCCACGTTCTCCGAGGTTATCCTAGGACACAAATAGCACACTAATTGGAGATGGTTTGGGGGCCAAGGCCAGGCTGTAACACTGTTTTAACACTAGGTCCATGGGACTAAAGGCGGGGAGGGCTGGTCCATCCCCCAGAGACAATAGTAAGTATTCTAGCGGTGGCACTCTTTTCCCCAGCATGGGCATGGAATAGATAGGGAGTCACCCTGCTGGCCAGACTCTCTTCCAAGAGGGAGGGTAGGCTGCATGCAGGGCAGAGCAGAAGAGAGCGTGTTCCCTGGTGAGTTGCTTCAGCTGAAGAAGAAATTCAAGGGGTTTGTTGGGGCTCCCTATGGCCAGCTTCTACTAGGGTCTCCAGGTTACCCTTGGAGGTACTGTATGTGATCAATTCCAAGACACAATACAAACCTCAACCTCCTCGTACATCCATGGGAACCAGGCCTCCCTGCCCACAGGCCCTGCAGATGGCGCTGGCTGCTGACCAAGATGCTGGACTGATGCAGCACACATCACAGATTGCATGTGACAGGCCCCCAAGGTCCCTCACCAGCATGTTATGTTCACCAGCTCCCCGCAGTCAACATTCTAGGATCCCATGGTTTCAGGAGATGGGCTGTCATTGTCCTACTCGTGATTAAGCACTCAGAGGGGGTATGATAAAATGGGCTATATGTGGAAACAGAAGACTCAAGGGCCTCAGGGACAGGAAATCATAGCAGCATTGAGTTCCATGCTCAGAGTCCCTGCAGAGCAGATGTCATCCAAAGGAGAGAGGAAGAGGGTTGGCATTGCCAGAGACGACGAGGAGCTGAGGATGGGCACTCACCCCATGGGGATCAGGCAGTCTCTGGCCTTCTTGTTCTCCCTCACATAGGAAGCAATGTTTCCAGGGTTCAAATTCCAACCCATTGACATAAATTCCACCCTAGAAGGAGGAAAATGAGGTGAGTCAAACCAGCTAGGGTTCCAGTAGCAATGGCTGGACACTTGGCAAGATGTGGGAAGAGCCAGGGAACCCTCAGGAAGTGCAGTGCACTGTCTGGGAGACACTTGCCAGCAAAACAGAGCTGGGGTGTTGCTGAGCCCTATTTCTACCTTTACCCCAGGACAGAGCAAAGTCCTCCCAGGGACAGGCGCCTCTGTACTTTTGAACCAGTCAATTGGCAGCTCCTGAGAAAAGCATTCTAGTATCCCCCACAGTACAGGAAACACATCCAGTAAGCCCAGGCCCTGTCCTCAGGGCCCACTAATGTAGAGGAGAAGAGACAATCAAGTCTGTACAAAGCTCACATTGAAAGCCAACCTGAGCTGTACAGGCAGGGAGGTGTAACAGGCTGAGAAGATGGGGAGATGTCCAGGGTAGAGAGGTCTCTCCTCTGAGAGGAGAAGGGAGGCAAAGGCCTCAAAAAAGATAACAGGTGATCTCGATTCAGTGTCAAAGCACTAGGCTGAACTCAAAAGGGCACTTCAAAAAGCATCAGTCACATGATAAACACCTGCTGGTTTTAGTTTGTTAAAGACTCCATTTAATCCTGTTATGAATCAATACACAGCTGAGCTACAGATCCCCTTTTATAGAGGAGGACACTGAGATCATGAGTGGATGGAACCCAGCCTGAATCCCGATTTAGGCAGTCTTGCACCAGAGCTCATTCCCTACTAGAAAGTGCTAGGCAACAGTCCATAGAGTCTAGTAGATGGTCGAGTTGTGATGTGGGAATCCTCCCAGCCCCAAACCTTGGTACCCCAGCAACACAGTGCTTAAGCTGCTGGGGAATTAGATGCCCATAAGAAACTCATGAAGACTAATGCTTCAAATTACCCACACCTACACTTCCTCAGTAAGACAGGAAACCAGAGACATCAAGGGGCAGTCTGGGTTTGGCCCTTGCCCGGATCTCGGTGGTCTTTGGCTATCTAACAACTAAGACATAGGTCAGGCTAAACAAGTGAAGGTCATCTAGGATCTGGCCTGAGACCAGTGATGCTTCCTATCAATAAACATTCTATAGAGGATCTAAAAGGCAAACAGAAGCATGTAATAACTAAGGCTTGTCCCCTCCAAGGCTGCCACAGCCTCCCTCACCCTGCCTGAATAGCCCCAGCATCTCTGCCCAAATCTGCAGACACTGCCATTTGTTGCAAGCAAAGACAGAGCCATGATATGGGTAAAGGTGACAGTGGGAAATCACCAAGATATGAACATGGCCCTCAGAAGCTGGCAGATATTTCTACCTGTGTACCAAGGTAGGAATAAGGGGACAAACACCCAAGGAAAGCAAAAAGTAATATATGGAAAACTATCCCTGGCATAAGGGAACCGAAACTGCAAATTATCTCAGAGAGTCCAAGTGCTATATTTTTCCAACCTGAGGCCCACTTTCCAGCCTGACAGATTTCCAAGACAGAATGCTTACAGGCCACTTTACTTTATCTAGATGGGAGCTTTTGCTGAACAGACAGAATTAGGGGCCATTCCTAGGCTGCATCTAGAGGGATCCACACCTTTAGCTGCCTAAAGGAACCAGGGAATGGTCCTCAAATCATGGCCTCAAAGAACTGAGAAGAGGGAAATTAGTTTGTCACCATTGGTTAAGGAGCTCTGGCAGAAAGAAATTCTTACCCACAGGCCTTGCCAATGTCATAAAACCCATTTCTGATACCACCTGCAACAAAAGCATTTCATAGCCATCCTTGACCAAGGTCTGTCTGTCTTAGGAGCAGCAGAGCCCCTGTCCCACCTGCTCTCTAGGTGCCACTCAGCCCAGCCCCAGAAACAGGACACAGGAGTGTCCTGAAGAGCTTGGAGCAGTGGCGAGGGAAGCTCCTGAATTTTTTCTGTGCTCAGAGTCCTCTCAGAAATGCTTACTGCTGGTCCAGGAGATAGCAATATCACTGTCCCTAGTCGTCAGGGGCAGAAAGCCCAGGCCTGGTCAAGGGCATCACCCAGTCCCAATTTATCAGCTATGTTGGCCACTGCCTACAGCCCTGATGAGCACTATCTGTTGATGGTGGACAGAGGCACAGTCTCTGGGATGCCACTGAAACACAAAATGAAAGGCACAGTCAAACCCCTGCCTGCCAGGCTCTCATGGAAAGCAAGTCTGGGCTCCTGGGCCATGTGACTGCTCCCATCAAAGGTCACAAAAATCTGGGGAACAATCTAGTAGCCCTGCACCCATACCAGGTCAGATCCATATGCTGTCTCTACAGGTGCATGCTCCTCAGGACCAACACAAGCATATGATCTTCCATCCTATGTTTCTCCTCAATCCAATCCAAGGCAGAGAAGTCCATTTGGGCCATGAGGATCTTTTTCTCCCTCTGAAGATTCAACAGTGACAACTACCTATCTCTGTTTCCTCCAGAGAACAGAGCAGCGGGCTTGTTCTTGGGACAGGCCACCAGAGCAAAAGCCATATCTCAAATATGAGGCCAGCGTCCATCCCTACCCTTCCTAGTAACCATATAGTTAGTTTTTCATATTCTATTCACTCTCCAGAAAGAGACGATCAGGGCTCCTCTTGGGTTCCCCCTGACCCAGAGTCCTCCCCATCTCCCAGACTCTGCTGATGAGATGGATCTGGAGTTCCCAGCTTGCTCAACTAGCAAAAGAAGCAATGTCGCCATTCAGGGTGTTCATGTGGTCATTTACCTGTCAAAGGAAGATAGAGTCTAGTTTAAAGCAAAAGTCAATTTTGGCTATAATTAGTCCACAGAGAACCTTTGCTCCACTCCCAGAAGTGGAGTGTCTTGGCTCTCAGCCAAGAAACACCCCCCTCCCCAATGTAGGGGAAAGGTTGGGTCCAAAGACTAGGATCCCAAGCACTCTGGTTGCCCTGACATCTTTTGACATCTGGTGTCCATCCTCATCTCCACTTGCCACAGGCCAAGTCCCCTGGAGCCAGGACCCACTCAAGAATTACAATGATCAACACAGAACTAGAAGTAGAAAAGATTATCTCAGAAACTGGGCAATCCGGGCCATGATGGCTCCACCTCCAGGCTGAAGCACATTTCCTATTCAGGGGAAAATGCCTTTATCTAGAGTCAACAGTTGTAAGTATTAAAGAGAGGACATTTCAGATCCTTCTTCAGAATTGTTAGCCCTTGGCAGGCTCCTCTGAGGCTCTGGAATTTCAGGGTCTGCAGCAGGGGGAGCCAGACACACAACAGCCTGTACAGATCATATATGGACCCCTGTGCTGGAAGGTCCCAAGCTCACTTGCCCATGCACCCTATTCTTCGAAATCAGCACAGGCTGGGCAGGTGACCTGCCCTTCCACATAACATGGAATACATGAGGGAAAGAGCAATGCAAACCTTGAAGTCCAATAGCATTGGCCCTTAGGCAAAGGAAATGAGATTCTGCAAATGTACACTTCCCTGAGTATCCTCTCTCCAGGCCCTGCTGTCACTACAGAAGAAAAATAGTGAGTTCCAACCTAAGTGAGGCACACAGTGTCCTGTATTATCTTTTATTCATTTCAAGGGAAGAGGTGTAGGAGTGGGAAACTGGGTGGGAACACAGGTTGAGGCCTCATGTTCAATTTCTAACTCTGTTGCAAATGCACAGCCCCCACTCTCTCCATTTGTAAATCAGTGCTGAACTTGATGTTTTTGACGTTCCCTCATCTCTGTCCTGGAATAGACAGGATCTAGGGTGCATAGAGAACCCTGGTCTCGGGCCTCCTGGTACCCTCAGGTGCTGGAATTTCTGCACTTGAGATACCTACTTTCCTCATTAAGTAGAGTACTCATTAAGTAGAATGAATGCACGTGGAGGAGGTTTAAAGTGTTTAGGGTTGAAACAGATGTAGACTGGCTCTCAGGAGATCATATTGAAGTCAGTGGACTCCATAGTTCCCTTCAGTGACAATTAGGGGACTAGAGGCATGGAAGCAGGACTTTGGAGGGATGAGAAGACCCGGAGGCCCCTGCGCAGGGCCTGGGTGGTGCATTCCCCTAAGGAGATGTCCCCCAACTGCTCAGGCCTCAGCTTTACGTCCTGGAGAACTGCGGTCAAGACGGCAGACAGAAACTCATCTTGGGTGGCGTCCTGCAGAGTCATGTAAAGCTGTGGTGAGCTTGGCTACTGATACCTCACGCAGAAAAAGCGAATGCAGCTCACCTGCCAACTACTTCCGGCCCCCGCCCCAGGAAAATACGACGGAACCCCGAGACCCCTGCGTCTCACCCCAGGGGCCAACCCCCGGGGGCCTCACCTTGAAGACGCCGCGGCCCGCTTTGCCAAGGGCCGTGCGCCATCCGTGCACCACCACCACGTCCTCGGCCGAGGCTTGCCTGAAGTTACCAAAGCAAGGAGCGGCCTGTAGCGCGGGACCCGACTCGGGCCGGCAGGTGAGGTGGCCCTGAACTACCTGCAGCCTCAACTTCACGCCGCTGAGACCCGCAGAGGAGTTTGAAATCGGCGCGCAGTTGGAAACAAACCCTCTGCAGCTCGGAGCGGAAGTTCCACTCAGTCTTAGAAGCCCGAACACCGCCCACAGCCCGCCCTCCAAAGGTTCCGCCCACCCAATCTCAGCCAACCAGAAGGAGCGTAACTTGAGGACACGCCCACCCCAGCCACTCTTACCTCAGGCCCCAAAAGCACCGCGCGGGGCTGTTCATTCCACTCAAAGTCCAGCCCTCTTGTGGGCTACCCAGGCCAATCAAGAAGCGGTTCTTTCTGGAGTCCCGCCCACAAAGGCAGTGGGGAAATCATTCTACCTTTCCAAGTTTTGGAGCCCAAACGGAGGCTGGCTCCCAAAATCTTGCACATAAACTGGGCCTCAACCAGAAGCCCCTTCCTCCAAATTCCTACACCCTGCCTGCTGCCAAACAGAAGGCTGGATCACCTGGGGTCCCTTCCTTGGCCTTTC